TTGTCTTTTTAATGAGGTTATTAAAGTACATAAAAGCTCAAACATGACCTCTGACCCTTATTTGGAAGTTAAGGTACTCTGCCTTTGCATTACCTGTACAATATTAAGAGGTCATGCCGAGGCAAAAGGCATTCACTTCCATTTGTTACTGTGTTTCACTTGGTTGCATTGTTAAAATAACACAACCAACACTATTTCTTTGCTACGCTTTAGTCAAGCTACCGTGTGTGTCAGAAGCGCTTGATGACAGATATTAAAACAAAGGCATAACACCTTCACGCCACTGCAGTGAAACAGTAACTTCACTTTGATCCGCAGCAAAACAAAGGCAGAAGACCTTAACTCAGTTTGAGTATTACAGAATGCTGCAGTACAAAGACAAAGACCCTGATGAGTGAAGTTACTGCACTCTGCCTTGGTTTCTCGAGGGCTTTTGGAAATTAAAAAAAACACAATTGACTCAAGATATTTGACCACATGATAAAGCACATCTGTAATGTTCCAAAAATGACAAAAACTCATTTTTGAAAAAAAAAAAATGAAGTTACTGCCTTTTGCCTTTGTTAGGGCAGCATACACAACCATGTATTTATTTCCCTTCAAAATATGGAGTTTCTCTGTTCAGCCTGCACACTGTGCCTATTTCATTTTGTGTGACATGTTCTATCTATCTTGTCTTTGTGCAATGTTGCAGAAAACTCCACAACATTTTTCCATATTCATTCATTTTCAGGATGTAACGACACCATAAAGTCAAGCAGTGAGCAACATTTCTTCTAACTGATTTCAGAAAATCCTACATGATAGTTATAAACATTGAATTTCAGGGCAGAGCACCAGAATCCACTTTCAGTATAACTCACTTCATTATTTAGAAGTCATTTAAATATTGTTAACATAATAGTTGAACTCAAAATACACAAAACAAACGTAAAAAAGAACCCATACGCATTGCAAACTCATGATTCATTATAGGCATTGATTTGGATTACATTACATTTCTATTTGTGGAACATTAATGTTACAAATATGAATATCAGAAGGTTACCCTTCAAATGTGAGGGCCAATCAGAATGAGTATAACTTATCCTTAACTACATATTATCTTGTATGAGCATCCACTGTGCATATCAATGTTGTCTTCTGTTTTTTAAAGTAAGGAATTCAAACAGGTTTTTTTTCTCCAAATAACATGAAAATATTTTTTCAGAGGAGGAAGAGGTGGACAAAATGATGGAGCAGAAGATGAAGGAGGAGGAAGAGAGGAAGAGGACAAAAGAAATAGAGGAGAGGATGTCTTTGGAAGAAACCAAAGAACAGGTAGGAAAAATGTAAAAAAAAAAAAGCACAAATGAAATGTGTTTCCTGTCTAAGCTCCATGTGGCTCTTGCAGTATTACCCTGGGTTGAGACCAAATTCATAAGACAGTTTGTTTTTAACGCTCTGATTCCAATCTTCATTTCAAATGAAGGTGATGAAGATGGGAGAAAAGCTTCAGGGACTCCAAGAAGAGAAGCACCAGCTTTTCCTACAGCTCAAGAAAGTGCTTCATGAGGAGGAGAAGCGGCGCAGGAAGGAGCAGAGGTAGTAAGGAAAACACGGTTTTTGCTTCTCCCTTTTGGGTACTCTCAAGATCTACAGATTTTTTTAAATAAGTAGTTTTGGTATTCAGTTACATTTCTTGCCTTATATTTTACAGCGATATCACCACATTGACCTCAGCCAGCTACCAATCCAGCCTGCCCATGCACGCAGGGCAGCACCTCCTCAGCATTCAAGGTAAGGCTGTACTAAACTATAGTGTATCCTCTAACCTCTTGTTGTGTATTTTGAAAATTCTCCTTTTTGAAGTTATTATTCTAAGGCAGCTGATGTTTTTTTTTTCTTCTTCTTTCAGGTAGTCCGGTCAGCCACAGTCGACCCGGTGCGCTCCTCGGTGAACGTAGCAAACAGCTGTTCCCAGCCTCCGTTATCCCTGTGAGTAAAGGAGTGTCCATTCATAAAACTTCCTCTTACTTCATGATTTGTAAAACACCTTTTATCTAGACTGTTATTCTAATTATTCTCTTTAGGCTCGTCACTATCAGACGCCCGGGTTCGGCTCAAGCTCAGCAGAGCACGGACAGTTCAGCGGGAGCCAGGGGGTCCATGAGTCTTACGGGGTGGCTCAGGCCCAACACCCTTCTACCTACGCCCCTGGACCATCTGTACCTGTCAGCTTCGCTAGCAGCTCTCAAATCAGAGGTGATAAACATGCGTACATTTGTGTGCTCACTGAAGTAACTTAAGCCGTTTAGGAAAAAATGATTATCAATGCTTTTAGTGGCATACTAAGCTCAAAAATGTAACCATGACAGAATGGGATTTAGTGTTTGGAAGATGACAAACAAAGCCTTGTTCTCCTACAGGTGCGTCTGCGTTCCAGGCCATGCAGTACCTCCCCCACCAGCAGCCTGGATACCCCGTCCACAGTCATTTCACCTCCCAGCCAGGTCAGTTTTTATGACTATTGATTGCAGTCACCATGGCCAAAATCAACTGCAGGAGATTTGATGTCAATAATTGTTTGATTATGAATACATAATCTCTGTCTCTCATCAGGATACATCCCTGGAGCAGGAATCCCCCTCCAGAAGCAGCTGGAACACGCCAACCAACAGTCAGGCTTTACAGACGCAGTAAGAACATTTCAAACGTGTATTCTTTCAACAACAAAATAATCATTCATAATCGAAATGTTTCAACTGGGGGAAAAAAAAGTATCTAAAGAATTTTTGCTCCATTTTTTTTATCTTTTATACGTTTATCAGTTTGATACACAATACAGTTGAATTATTTAATTTGATTACAGTATATAAAATTGGATCTAGTTTCAAATGGTGAAGTCCGTCACTGTACTTAAAAGTCCCATATTATGCTTTTTCTGGTTTTATATGCTCTTTCGTGTGTTTTCCAAGTGTCCTGTGCATGTTTAGGCACATCTATGTGCAAAAATTCAAAGTCCGCGGAAACGCAGCTTCTCCTACGTCCTCCTGTTAGCTGTAGCATTAGCTGCATGTAACGCTCGGTTCTAGCCCCCCTCGATAAAAATTTGTCAGTTTGACGTCATTGTCAGTGTGAGATCACTGATCTAAGCCCATTGGCTCGTTGTGGCAAGCCCAGCAGCTCATGTTGAAATTTCCGAGACGCGTGCTGAGTAACTGACCAATAACGACAGAGCGGATCGGCAGACCAATCAGAGCAGACTTGGCCCACGTGGGGTCTAACAGTGTGGGCTCAACAGAGCGTAGCTGACGGACTCAGAGCGGGAGGGAGCAAGGAGGAGCAGTACATGAAAACAGACACTTTTTTCAGACTTTGTGAACGTACAAAAGTAGGTACATAGATTAAATATACGAACCCCAAAAAGGGAATAATATGGGCTCTTTAAAGATTGTGTGTGTCTAAGCATACATGGTCAATAAAACTGATTCTGATCACTTATGATCTGATCTTTTTTTTTTTTTTTTTTTTTTTCTTTCGTCGTCTTGCTTGTTGGTGTTCCAACAGGGAGCTTTAAGGCCGATGCATCCACCAACCATGCATCCTTCTGCTCCAGGTCTTCTTCCCACGCCATCGATGACTGTCCAGATCCCCACTGCAAAGGTGAAGCCCCGAAGCACACACACTTAACACACTGCTCGGTCTGTGTGGGTATGGTGGGGTGCGGTGAGAGCTAGCATGGAGATGTTTGGCTCTGGGATGACCTGAGCTAACTGTCCGGCCTTCCTGAGGTGTCGTGGGACTAGGCGGACAAAACACCGGCAAAGGGAGGTTCCCACTTGGCAACCCCCGGTGATGTCCTGGCTCTGGCTGCCCATCAGTCTACACGGTTGAGTTGCTGGGGCCAGAAGGGGCCATGCAGAAGGGTAGATGGTTTGCACTACCTGGTTCAGCTAAAATAAACGGAGCCTGTGTCTGTTGAATGTGGCATTGCTGTGGGCAATAGGGTAGGTTATGTAACAGTAGGGCATAGGGGCATCATTGCGATGAGAGGTGGCATGTTTTTACTCAGCATCAAAGTTGTTCCTCTGGCGCCACCCTGAGGCCTTAATTATGGCAGAATGGGAAAAGTACTTTCTTCATCCAAGGGTATTCTTATTTAAACACCTACTCTCTCTTGTCATCAAACCTGTCATGATGGTTGAGGAAGTATTTTTATCCCTCTTATTGACCGTCTGATTTCATCATGTTCCTCTCATGTTTCCATCACCAGTCCCCGTTCCAGAGCTCTCCTCAGGGTGCTCCCCGTCACGGCTTCCTCCCCCACAGCCAGAGCGGACAGAGGTTCTACCACCACGGCAAATAAATCCGCACCAACGTCACCTTCATCGTCGCTGAGACGTCACAGCTCAACTCAAGAACGCCGGGAGAGAACCTTTTGGAGCGAGTCATGAATCGACTTCTCTGTTGAGATTGGTGTTTGGTTTTTTCCCCCCTGTACAACATTTCCATTTGACTTCATTAACAGAAACCTGAAGTCCTTTTTAATTGATTTTTATTGACTTCAAATAATGTCAAATTGTAAAGCAGATTATTTTACCTACACTGTAAAGCCGTTCTGGTGGTGCTGTATGTACATACACACTAACTCAGATGTGAATAGGTTGTATAAAGCAGCTCATTCTTTGGATACTAATGTGCTTTATAAAGACATGAGCAGTGCTTGACTAAAAGCAGCAGAGCCACAGTAAGTGGAACTGCTCATCAGTGGTTTAATATTGGATCACATGGAGTAAATGGATATCTCAGCACTGAATATGAAACCCATTGACTTAATGAAAGACAGTGATTCATTGTGCAGCTGAATTCTGGTTGATCACAATGGAGCCATTATACTTGCTTAACAGATTGATAGAGGAATCTTGTTTTGATGTTTTCATTTTACAAACATTTGTACATCCTCTGCTGTTCCAGTCTTTCATGTTGTTTAATAAACAAAAAACACAAATGCCACGTTCAACAGTTTGTGTCAACCTTTATTTGTTCGGAGACAAACACAACGCTTCGGCCTCCTGGATTGTTGCTCATGTTTATCGTATACCAAATCATATTTCAGACGTTTCTCCAAACGAGCTCTGAGTTAAGCGGAGGCCGACTGACGGCCTCGGCGAATGAAATGTTAGTGTTCTTCATGACTTTTTGCATCCTTTAATCACTTCTAACTCCTTGAGACAAAAAGGATACTGAACCTCGGTGTGTGTTAATAGACAAGTTTCAGGTGATCAAATCAACAGCAGGAGGGAGGGGCTTGTTCAGATGACTTGCTGAAATAACAGCGCCACACAGATAAACGTCATGTATGGCGCACAGGCTGAACAAGCCTCAACAGAACAATGCAGATGAGAGTTGAAGCCCTTCAGAAAACAGGGTGGGACATGTATAAAAAATAAAACCCATGTTTGAGTAGCACCACCTTTTCTTTCTCCTGATGATAGGAAGCTACTGAATATTTGAACTCCTCCGTGACCTTATTAAACCTCCAAAGTCCAGACGTGTGGATTTTTTTATCATGAGTGCGTTCACATAGAGAATGTTTGACATTTCCAATTAGTTATTTTCTAAACGGACCCACAGAGGGGTCAGAAAACAAAGTGAGAGAGAGAGAGAGAGAGTATGAAAAACCAAGACGAGAAGAGAGAAAAAAAGAAAGAGGGAGAAAAGCATTGACGAGGCAATAATCCCTCCTTTTCCCCCCAGGTCCAGTGCATCTCGTTTACCCCTGAAACAGAATTATGAAGGAAGAAGAAGAAAAAAAAGGAAAGAAAAGTGAGAAAAGGAAGATTCTGAAGGGAAAAGTAAAAATCAAAACAAATATATTTTAATGTACCAGACAGTGTTTAAAAAGCCTCTGTGGAGTAAACATAGCAGTTTCAACCTCGGTGGACACTTCAATCTAACAGCCCGCCATGATGAATGAAAGTGCGTGAAAACAAGTCGACCCGACATCACAACAAAGCGGGAAGCGCTTTCCTTAGGAACATACAGCAAGCGGAAGGTGCGTTAAGGCTGTGAAATAAAGTGCTACTAACAGAAAACAACAGCAAAAACACCGCTTCAAAATATACAACGTGACCCATACGCTTCATTTCTATTTGAAAGTGCTACTTAGAAATGATACACATGCTCATAATAGTGTTACATGACAGAGAAAGCACGTACAAAAGGGGGAGGCAAATCCAGAGTGACACCCGTCTTTAAATTTACGCTCATATCTCAATATATACACAAAAAGTGCTGACATAATGTAATGATGTGGCAAACATGAATATTTCCAGTATTGTCTCTATGCATAACTATAAATAAAGTTGTTTTTTTTCCTAGTACACCAAGGTTAGAGTCCAAACAGCCTCACATATTGCTGACTGGAGTTGCCTTCTCCTTGGTCCAGTGATGAACAAGAAACTGTACAGAGACATGATATCACACAGACTTGCATTAGCATGGCACATGCTGTTGACTTGTTGCGCAACAACCAAACACACGCACACACACACACACACACACACACACACACACACACACACACTCCTCTTCAGTCAGGCAGGCTGGGTCAGTCGATGCTTGGGGTGGGGTGGGGATGGAAAGCAGCTGCATATCCGTACAGCTGTAGCTCTGTATTTACCTGCGGTGGCTTATTTAGCCAGGGCTTTGATGCCAATGGCCGCTTCTTCATCCATTGCATTTAGAACGGTGATCTGCAGGAGCACACAGGAGTTTAAGGGAGATTAGCTTAAGACTGCTGCTATGTTGTTGAACGTGAGCTTTGATAGCTTCAGGAGGTTTTTTTTAAACTACCGAGCAACAAACGACTGAGCAACAAGATCTGACCCGATGAACGATTACACTTCAGATGTTCATTTTGTTTTCCAAGCAAAAAAAAATAATATATCTACCAATAACGAGCTGAAATTTTCCGAACACATTGCCGACATCCTGATACACTGCCCTGACAACAAAATGCAGCGTTCTCAACCCAAAGATCAGGTAGAGCGCAGACCTTTTTTTTTACAGAGAAGTAATACAAAATATGTGTCCTTTTATTTCAGAGCCAAGCGCTATTTACACGGGAACAGAAGCTTCAAAGTGTAAACAGTTGAAATGTTTCCTAAACAACTTTGAAAAGGGCAATGAGAGAAGTCCCATTTTACACACAGCTAAGAGCCTGAGCTGCTTCATTTGTTCTGTTTCTGCCGTTAGTGCTGCAGAATCAGGGCTTGCTGTCCTCTCGCTTTGAAATCTTTAATATTTATGGTTTGAACATAAATAAACAAGCAGCACACAGATGACACTATCCATCTGAGAGGTAATCTGCGTATAAATCAATCAGAAAACTATTAAGTGGCTTCCCTAATAACCATTGCACATCTGCTGTGCTAATGTGGTCATCAATAGAGCTCGATGATCAGACGGTAAATCTTGTGGCGACATCTCTTCTATCCGTCAGCTAGCTGCAGTTTAAACAAGGGGCCTGTAATGTGAAGAAGGATTCTCAAGACTACGAAGGTGGTTCACTTCTCACCAGGGTACATCACCACGGTCACTTAACGCTGAACACCTAACGTGCTCTGGGGGAGGTTATGTTGGGGATAAGAGGTCAGTTTGGAGAAAGAAACGCTCACTGACCAATCGGATCTCCTGATTGTGGAGCTCTGTGAGCTGACTGTGAATTTACATATGAGTATAATAAGTGTTTTTATTTGTGCTTTACTGATATCAACAGAGAGTGAAAAAAACACCCGAGCCTTGTAGTTGTTGTCCTTATAAATTGTATTTTTTATTTTTTTTTATTAGTCCAGTACAGCCCTGTTTGTTAGTGTGAGGGCTGCAGCTAAAAATATTACGTCTAAAACTATCAAATCTGTGCAACTAATGAATTAAAGGGAAGAACCAAGAGGTATTATAGTCAGATCTATTGTAGACTCATGATGGACACTGATATTATTGTGTTCGCCTAAATTTGCTTTTTAACAATCTGAGATTTTTCTTTTACTCCCAGTTCCTTCATGTTGGTTACAGTCTGTGTTTCATTTCTCTAACTTGTATCCCAGTTTTGCTTGTGGAATATGACACTCTATTTTATAGGCTACCTGAAGCAAGGTAACCAAACGAACCTCGACTACAGGCTGTGACAATATTCAGAAGAATTTATAATAGATCTGCACAACATTTACTCCCGCCTCGTTTCAAGCAGAGAAACACAGTTAAAAAAAAAAATATATATATCCTGAGGTGAAGAAGAGAGAACACTGACCATGATCTCCTCTCCGGCTTCGTGCTTGATCTCTATCTCTTTGCCGAGGTCTCCCTCTGGGATCTTCAGGTCCTCTCTCACCTCACCACTGTCCTGGAGCAGGGACAGGTAGCCATCTTGGATCCCAATCAGCTGAGAGAGAAGAAACGTAAGCAGGCACGGGATTAAAAGTCGTGCAGGTGTGGGATTTTTTTTGTTGTTGTCTCCAGTAGTGGGAGACTTGAATGCTTTTGTCTCCACAGGTAACCCTACACTTTGTGCTTAATGGTTTGCCGAGGTGTGTGAAAAGAAATGGGTGTAAATACCAGTCTGATCAGGGGTAACTAAACTCTTCAGTAACATTTCAGGCTTTTACAAACAGAGTGTGTAGCAGCCATTTGCTGGTTATTTGTTGTTTCGCGTTTGTTTTTGTTGTCTGTGAACACCAGGGGGCAGTGGGCACCTTGCCAAGCACATGGGTCGATTAGGAACCCTTTAAATGTTCCAGGTGTGTCACTGTTGGGTGCTGCACCAGGAAGGGACACAGGGTTTTTTTTTTTTTTTTTAACCACATGTCAATGAGACAGGTCAATGGGATGTTTGTATGTCTAAATTAAATGAAGGAACATGATATTCCAGACTGGCCTCACTGGAACGGTGCATCAGTGGCTGTTTTTTTTTTTAGTTTATGTGGTTTGTTTGATCATAAGCTAGTGTCTTAACATGTTCAGTCTCAGTGGTTCAGGGACAGCAGTATAGAGTGCATGAGACCCCCAAACATTGCAGCGTTTGGTGACAGTCTTTGAGGGTTTCTAAACCTACAGACGCCGTCATTTATCAGCAGTTAGTTTGCGATGAATAAAAACTTCACTTGGTGCACCTTGTTAGCATGTTTCAGAACTCAATCAGCTGTTTACCTGCACACTAAACACGGCCATGTGTCATATTACCTCAAAGGTAAAACATATCAATTACTAGTTGATTTTTAACAAATACATAGAGAGAGAGATAGAGAGATAGAGAGAGCACATCATATGAATGAGATTGATTTCAGTCAATTTTCCTACAGTTTTGTTTTATTAAGAGTATAATTTCTTCAAATGACGATCAATTCCCCTAACATGCCTCTTTCTTTCTTTGTCTTCAAAAGCTCTTCTAAATGAAGAAACTCTGAAGAGACTGTTAACCATTGAGCTTCCTCAAATGGTCGTCTAACTAGCGCACGTGTAGAAATGCATCTAAAGATCTCGTACTTGTTAAAAACCAACGCAGATCAGTGAATATTACGACACATGACTGTTCACTCCATTCTTTCCCCATCGCTCAGCCATTACAGAAATCACTTGTCAAAGGCTCAAAGGAGACAGCTACGTTTACTTTAAACTTAAAAATGTGTAGGTCATTTGCATCATACTTGAGTTTCAGGTATTTACTGCTCTTCTTGAGTTTTCCAAGACTGTTTATCTGGCCAGAGAAGTAAGACACAGAGTGGTGTAATTTATTTAAACCAACACATTCTGGATAACAAGCTGCTGTCACAGCATTGTAGACCAACAGATAACCCTCCGGTCCTCCAGCTGTCTCACCTGATAGTCCATTCTCTTGATGTTGGGGACGTCCATGTTGTGGGTGGAGGGACAGATATCTTCATATTTCTTACCAGAGAAGATGTCAATGCCGACCATGTGGACCTGCACAAGCACAAGACACACAGAAAGGCTCAGCTTTCTAACTTTAAAAGTGTCCAAAATGATCGTCAATGTGTCCAAAACCACATAAGCTACACTATGCCGTGTGTTTTTAGTCTCAACTTTGCATTAAAAAGGTAGTTCGTCCTGACACTGTGAACCAGGAGTGTCAAGTTGTGAAACATGTCATTTTAAACTATTTAAAAAAAATGGAAACTGAAACCCATCAAGGACACATTAGTGCTCTTCCACAGGCTGAAGGTTCCATTAATGTGCATTAATATTAATGATGGTGACCCTGTGCTTATTGCAGAGATTAATGGATAGATAGTGGAGTGATCATTCACTCTCCCTCTCCCTCTCTCTGCACTGTCCCTCCTGAGTCCACTATGTGTTTACTCCCATGTAACAACATGTATAAAAAAAAACTACCATGAGCTTTATAAGTTTAAAAATAGCTTTCTTGTCATAATTTGACATCACTTTAGGATTTTCTGACCTTAGCGTGGCCGTGCTTCCCAGTCTTGGAGGTGGACATCTCAACGATCTTGCAGGGTCGGTTCTTCAGGACTACAAAGCCGTTTTTACGCAGGGCAGAGCACTGCATGGGGTAGGTGGCGGATGCCCCAGCATCACCTGTCTGGAAGTCCAGGTCTGCATCTGCCATGCCTGCTGTAGAGAACCAAAGAAAAACACAGGACCAAGACATGAATATAAAATATGTTCATTACTGATAAATTCACCAAGACTTTGACACTAGTGTGGCTGTGAGACCTTCCCTTTGGCACTATGGAAAAACAATTCTTTATATTTATATTTTTACTGCAAAAAACAACATTTCAAAATAAGAAGGTAACGTTCTGAAACTTTAATTGCAGTCTAAACATGAACATTGCAAAATGTACCAGGTGAACTACTCATCCGAAAAGAGGTATCTAGATATCATTTCTGTTAGGCTGCACTGTGTCAAATGGAGTTATATATCCTTGTTTGACTATCATATCCACATTCATTTACACCCATTACAAACTACTTCAAGTAAAACACTGAGATGACAGCCCACACTAAATATCGTTCAACACATTTCATTTTGACTGTGGTGTTAAAAGGCAAACATTTACTTTCAGGTCAGACCAAACTTTATTGCAATGTACGCTTACATACTGGATGTGAACTTGCATTCATGCGTACAATAGTGTTAGTTTAAATTCGTTCATTGAGGGGTCGAGCAGTGAAGATACAGAGAGCGGAACAAGGTGGAAATGTGAGAGTTGGCTGGTGATGAAAACATGGGGGTGCAAACCAGACAGGGCTAAATAAAGAAGCAGAAACACGGCACCTGTTAGCCGGTCTTGCTGTAAAAAAGTAGACTTTAACGGTACAAGAAATTAAATGTGACAAATGGAATTAGAAATGCACCGCAGCTCGTTTTTATTCATGCTTGTGTGGCAAACTTTGCTGAGCTGAACTTTAAAGTTCACGAGGAGGCTAGAATAAAAAAAATAAAAACTGAGACACCCTGCCAAAAGTTAAGCAACTAACTCGCAATATTTTTTAAAGGAATAAACAAGTGCCTTGAGGTTATGATTCAATAAAGCGACTTAAATGGGCCTACATCATTAATGGGCTTCCGTTGACAATTAGGGCGGCTGTTCCGCTAATCCGCCCTAATGACCCATAAATCACATTTCAAGGCGGTTGTCCCGAGCCGTGATTTATTTAACTTCCACGGTGTCGTAAAATGAGCACAGAAGGGGGCAGAAATGTATCGGTAGGTCACATCCAGGAGGAGGGGAGGAGGAGGGGGGGGGTGCATCGGGCTGTCTGCAGCGGACTGAGGCCTAGTGCGTAAAGGACGTGCCCACGGCCCGCCGCTGCTCGGCTCCCCGAATCCGTGCACACCGAGGCCCTTTCTGATAAACACTTCAAGACACCTTAACCAGTCGACATGTAATTGCAGACCTCCCTAACAACGACGCGAATTCTCTTGAACCCCTTCTAGCCGCCAGCAACTCCACAGACATTAAATTCATTCAATGTTGGCCCGCTTATGTACAGTAATGACTAAGCTAATACGCGTGATGGCTACGGCGTGCACCAGCGCACAGGGCAGGCTGTATCAGTGGGGGTTTTGTCGTGGCTGTGTGCGAAGTTAAGAGGTAGAAAATATCTGCAGTGTTAAAAAAAAAAGTTATTAGAACTGTCAAATGTTGAATATGAGACAAATTAAATGGAGGACTCGCCAACTTTCTACAATGGAAAGAAAATGCGAACGCGTCATCGGGTATTTAAGTCAGAAGCTGAATGTGCCGGCGGTCCTCTCCTCACACATCCTGCTATTATGACTTCATGTGGGGGTCGTTTAAAGGGAATTTGTCTGAATACAGCCCCAGACAAGACATGTGCAAGGGAGAACTTCTCTGCCCAGGCGCAAAAACGCCCCGTCTATTGGATGTTCAGATAAGGAACTTACCCTAGTGATGATGGCTTTCCTGTCTGGGTTATTTATCAGTCTGTCTCCCGTTAGTTCCCCCTCCTCTATGCCTCCCTGTATCCGTGCTAAAGGGTCGTCTGGCCGGGGGGGAGAGGGTGGGGGGGGTTTCGTCTCCTTCTCGGTGGCTCGTCCGCGATGTCGCTCCCTGTTTCTATCAGCTATCTCTTTATTCCTCTCTCATTCCTGTCGTTCTGCTGACCTCTCTTCCCTTTCTATATATATATATATATATATATGTATATATATTTAAATCCAGATTGCAGTGACCTCCGACAGAGGTGCACAAGTCAGCCGCCGGGCCGAGAAGAACCAGATCCCAGAACCCCGCTTAGTAAGTACAGTCTGTAGCCTCCACCTCTCTCTCTCTCTCTCTCTCTCTCTCTCTCTCCTCATCCAGCTCCTCTCCCACTGACACAACATGAAGAAAAGATGACAGACCACTTCCCGTAGGAACCTTCACAATAAAATACCCTCTACTATGCTGTCATAACATTGTTACAGAGCCATGTCAGCCCACCAAGAACTCACAACTTCTAAGAGTATAAAAATATGTATAAAATAAATATTTATTAATTATAAATATTATCCTCTGTGTAAACATTTTAAGTGTCCTCATCCAGTCACTGCACAATAATAACTGTGTATACTCTGTCACTGCACCATAACTTCACTTATTTGCACTTTATCTCTATGTTTATATTTGTTTAATTAATCAGTCACTGCAAAAATAATAACTGTATATATTCTTTCAGTCAACACAACTATCTATTTATTTATTATTATTATCATTCATTCACTGAACAGCAATTGCTCCGGCCACTTTTTTGCATACTTCTCTCTCATGTCACCACAAATATATTTTTGTTGTTGTTTTTGTAAACGCTGCTGTTTAGGATTGCTGCTAACGAAGTTTCGTTGTGTCCTTGGATACAAAGATAATAAAGATTCTGTCTATCTATCTTGAAAGGCGCTATCTGATTGCCAAAGATGTATTCCATTAACGCTGATATAAAACACAACATCACTGTGACTTTGTAAATATAATTCCAGGCAGGTGATCTTAATGCAGTTCAAATAATATAAGTAAAGTCTATTTTTAATTGCACAGTTTAAGTTTGTTTCATCTAGGGGTATTCTTTAAATCTTTTTTTGGGGTTAATATATATTAATTGGTCGGTTTTGCGGTTTAATTTTGTAACAAATGTTTCATGTCATGTACGTCTTTGTAACCTGCTACTGGATGTTTTTGAATTTCCCTTGGGATCAATAAAGTATCTATCTATCTATCTAAATAACAGTAGATTGTTTAAGCTTTTAAGTATCATGCTGGTACCTCTGAATCACACAGCAGACTCATATTTTACTGGTTACAAGACAAATTACAAAGTAATAAGCGAATCTGCATTTGACATAGCAGCTGATGTGTGGTGACCTTAGTGTGATGTAGCTTGAATACAGTTTACTGCTATATGTCAGCAAAGAATACTGGAATCATGTAGGTATTACATTTGATCATTTATAATGCATCTTACTGCAATGCAATGTCTGCTATTTAGTCTAGAATCAAGATAATACAATGTATTTTAGGATATGTTATACAGTTTACTGCAATAAAATGTCTTCAATGTTCTTGACTTTAGATGTTAAACTGTTTATCTGTTTAAGAAAGAGTCTGCGTTACATTGTTTTCAGAATGTACAGAACAATTTAAAGGAGTGAAATCCTATTGAGCTTTCCAGAATGTAGATATTAATGCGTTTCAGAAACTAAAATATGATGTCGTTCATGTAGAGGATACGTTGTGTTTCATGTTGTGTAGCATTTATAGGCTACAGTTTGGTGCTTTTACTTTGAAAGTTCAAACTTTTCCGGTCTTCTCTTGACTAACTTCACTGGGGTTGATGTTGCTTTCATCTGACTTCCAATGAAACAAACCTCAGCAATTTGGCATATTGTGCGCATGCGCAAATCTTTCTTTCTAGTGCAGCATGGACCACACGGCTCTTGTGGAGTATTTCACTTTGCAGGGAGCCCTTACTGCACATGCGCTACACACCTCACAGTCAGTGCACTGAAATCAGAGTGTGTACAGGACTTGTCTCTCTTTTAAAAACGCGTTCAATGAACAAAGTCCAGGTTTTTTATTATTAACACTGCATCATTAAAAACTTTTTATTAATCCACAGTACAGTGCTGCCATCCTGTCAGTGTATAATTCACTTTGCTACTAATAATCAGACTTCTCATTAGAGCCCCCTTTCTGTCCAGAGACCAATAGCTTCTGCACAGCAAATGGTTTCATTGAACTTGGCAGTTCTTAGTTATGCCGGGTTAAATTTAGTGCAGTGAAACTCGAATCCACTGACCTATGTGCAGAGGGCTGTAGTTAAAGACACAGATACTATAATATGAGTGCATTTTTAGTTTTTCCTCCCTCAATCCTGAATTTCATGTGTCAAATAACGCAACTCTGAAGTCCTGAACACCAAAGCCAACACACTGAGCTCTTCTAACAAAACAACAAAGACTAAAAGGATCATGGCATGTCGATCAGACTTTTTGAGGATCTTCTACAGAGCAGAAAACCAGTGTGACACTAATGCAATATCAACCTTACGAAACAATATAACACAGTTTTGTTAAAGTATAATGTCCCCTTTCCCCCCTAACAGGAAAATGGCCCGTCATAATACAATAAATTTCCCAATCCCTTGACAGACTTGCATCTAAACTATACTTACTATGCTCATCAACTCAACAAATGTTTGTCTCTAGTTCTCCCTAGTGGCTGGAACCAAAACCTGTCAGCTGAACGTACTAAACAAGCACAGCCTGAAAACAGTCTTAAGAAGTGAATATGATCAGATTCATCTTGTGACATGTCATGCATTAAATGTGTGACTATAGTCTAACATTGTTCAAAGAAGATAACTGGATAGCTGTTTTAAACATATCAACTGATGCAATGAAGTTTATAGTTTAACTTGTAAGTTTATCATTGGCAGGGGCCAAGTAGTCTACCTTTACTTTAAATACCTGTAGGCGTACCTTAAGTTCATATAGCTCACCATAACTGTGTTTTGAAGGCTGGGCTTTAACTTATATCGGAGACGGTTACATTAACATTGTTGTAGGATAATAAAATACTCCTAGTTCTTCCTTTTCCAGTGGAGTGAAACAAGGTTTCTATCAAACAGAACTGAATAGAATGAAGTGGATGCTCCAGGGAGGTAGTGCTGGAAGGACAATAAGGGTGATGTCGAAATGATGGGAAAGAGACAAAACAGTTAAGGTTGGACATAGCAAAAGGTATGGGAGTGCATGACTTCAAAATATGTAGTTGCAGTGCATTGAAGATCATAGACTCATTTGAGAACATCGAGTAGGACCAGCCTTTGTCCAAGAGGGGGCAGTTACGTGACGTCAAGTATGCCAACCACCACAAACCCTCAAAGTAGAAGAAGAAGAAGAAGAAGAAAAGTTTCGGGAAGATCGGGAGGGAGGGGACGCCGCCGCGAAAGTGTAGTAATCCGATAAGCGAGCATGACCGACACCGAGGTGCAGAGCGCTCCTCCATCGGCTCCTGAAGAAGACAAGCCGCAGCCAGAGAGGAAAGTCATAGGTGGGTGTTGTAGAAATAAAAGTCAGAAATGGGTTAGGTTAGGTTTTAGAAATGTATGTTGACAATGTAAGTGAGAATAAACTCTGTGTAAAAAAATAAAAAAATAAATAAATTTGGCAATTTTCATGTGCCAAACTTTTTGCTTAGAATGTGTGACGGCCGAACATCGCAAACTCTCGGAAACTACTATTTAGTTTCTTTTTTTTTTTGTCGCAACACGTGTCCTGAATTTACACATTTTAACACAAATAAATTAATTAGTAACATCTCCACTATGACACCAAATACCGCTTATATAAAACGTTACAGGCTATTGGTGAGGAAATGAAAACGTAAAATGTGTAGGATGGTTTAAAAAATAAAGTAGGTCAGTGAACTAACCTGGATGGTTTCTTGCTGCGTTTACATTTACAATATTATCGTTTAACATGTCAAAAATGATTGTTGTCCATGTACTGAGGGAAGCAGTCCTTAGTGTCTCGGGTGTTTGTTTGTTTGTTTTCGGGTGTAAATAATTTACTTTTAATTTTAGTTTTTTGTTGGTCGTCGTGCGCGCGGGCCATCACAGGTGCTAATTGATTGGTTGGGAAACCACCGTGCTAATTAAATGCGTTTAAACGATTTCCCAAGCGAAAGCAACAGCTACGTGTCCTCGTTAGGGTTGTGAATACATTCCTGTCTTGTGTTTCTAACATTTTTCTAAAGTGAAATAACGTGTTTCCTTGTTGTTAAGCAGCCTCAGGCCCTCTTGCCCTGGTTTCAAAGTCTTACTGTTAATGATTGACACACAGAGCTCCCACTGCCTGTTGTAACCAAGGCCGCCACTGATTCACGCAAGATAACAGTAAACTTTTTATTATGTCCTCTGAGTGGGCATATGACAAGTCATGGTGTGTGATATGTTTCTGGGATGAACATTTAATCATGCGTTTCCGGTTTTTGTAGCCACATTGGTCCAAGGCACAGTGAAATGGTTCAACGTGAGAAATGGATATGGCTTCATAAACCGGTAATGTTTCATCTGCAATCACAGTTTTAAATCACAGCAGTTTGATTTAATTTTACAAGTAAGAACTAACTTTGCTAAAAGGTTTTTTTGTTCCCCCCCCTCTTAGAAATGATACCAAAGAAGATGTGTTTGTTCATCAGGTAAGGCAAGGTGCATTTCTTGACTGAATGTTTTATGATTTGATTGAACCCTTATATGATGCTTATATTTATCCTCAGACTGCCATAAAGAAGAACAATCCTAGGAAATTCCTCCGCAGTGTGGGGGATGGGGAGGTCGTAGAGTTTGATGTTATTGAAGCAGCCAAGGTAGGACTTTGTGAATGCTGCTAATTTTGGCAGTACCAAAACTGGTGTACTGTGATCTTCATTTTATAATCCTTTCCCCTCTTTGGTGTCCCACAGGGCTCTGAAGCCGCCAATGTAACTGGTCCAGGAGGTGTTCCAGTCAAAGGCAGCCGCTATGCTCCCAACAAACGCCGTTTCCGTCGTCGATTCTTCCCACGCAGCCCTCCGCCCGATGACCAGAGCAAACCGGCTGATGGCCAAGCCCCCAATGGCGAAGGTGAGGGATCGGGGGAGAACGGGGTACCGAGACCTCAGCAGCGCCGGCGGAGGCCTCGCAGACCACGACCTGAAGATGTAAGCTGAAGCAGAATAACTGGTTATGGGGAAATCACAACCAGTGTGACTAAGAACTCAAAGGGAGGTTTTCACTGGTAGAGCTTTCATGTCTTGTGATTAACTTTGATAGGAGAACCAATATTTTATATAAGGTGAGTTGATTTTATAATTTAAGTTTGAGGTGGTTTATAAAAGTTGTAAGGATCATGAAGGTTGAAGTTAAGATTGATTTAGCCCTATTCTCCCTCAGGGTGAAGCTGAAGAACAAAACGGAGATGGGGAACAAACACAGCGACCGCAACAGCGTAGATTCTGGCGACCATACCGCAGGTGACCTGACAAATCGCATGCAATTGGCGTTTTGATTTCTGCCTTCACTTCACACAAATGCTCAGATTGACTGATTCTTTTTGATTGACAGGCCGTTCCGCCCCCGCCCACCTCCTGATCATGCTACAGACAGCCAGCAGGCTGCACCAGAAGAGAGCCAGGAGCAAGGCCAGGTGGAGCAAGGCCAGGTGGGGCAAGGCCAGGTGGAGCAAGGCCAGGTGAAGCAGACGGATGTCTCTGAGGCCCCCCACACCAACGGAGAAACAGCGGAGGGCCAGAAACAACAACGCCGCCAGACTAGACGCCGCAGGCAAAGGAACTCAGAGTCCTCTACCTCCAAAGTGAGTATGTTTATTGTTGATGAACTGACAGATGAGCTTCTTCGGTTGTTTTCTAAATACACAAATATCTGCAGTGATTTAATAAATATGCTTTTTGGTGTTTTTTTTTTTTAATTGTCTGTCTGAATACAGACCATTTACAAAGAAGCTGTCCAGCTAAAGTCAGACCACACATCACTATATGGGGAATATGTCATTTTGAAGTTGTGTCCAAATTATGAGTGAGCATAATCACACCACATTATAATGGACTCATTGTATCCCGCAATGCACCGTGAAAAGTAGTGTACAGTCGATGGTCACTTGCCAAGCATCATCTACCATCATGCATTGCAGTGCAAAGCTGTGGTGGGCAGAGAGTGATGTGTAACTGCTCTCAAACTGTTTGACAGACAAGAGGAGCTTGACCAGTATGAAAACACGGAACAACAACAAAAAAGTTCAAATTTGATGACATTTTTACCAAAGTCTTTATTCTGTTTTAAAAAAAGAGTCAATGCAGCTTAAAAATATTAATAAGTTGATATTTATACCAGATAGTGTATGAGTCATGATTTGTTTTGTGAATACAGATAAATCGATGAGCAGGTATTGGACTGAGGCCCTTTCGAGCGAGTTGTAAAGGATTCGACTATTTTGGGTCACCCCTGATATTAACTAGGGTTTTAAGAACTCTCCTGAAAGTTCTCCTTGTTTAACTATTTTATACTCGAGTCTTCTTACTCTCACATTGCAGAATGACACAGAGAAGTCTGCATCAGACCCTGGTACGCCCCCACAGACCTCAAAACCAGCTGACCTCAAATCCACAACAAAATCTCCAAAGGTCTCTCCAAAATCCTCTCCAAAAACCTCTCCTAAAACGACAAAAACAACTGAGGTGAGATTCCTAACCTGCAATGTATTGATACTCATTTCCCTGAATTTGTTCAATGTTTGATAATTCAACACACAAATGTTTGTCCGCGTCTCCCTACCCTCAGCCGGAAGCTGCATCAACAGTCCCAGCACCGACAGAGTGATGCCTGCAAGAGGACAGTCACGTGACCCTTGGCAAGAGGTGGGGACCCCACACTAGTGGGTCAGGTCTGGGTCAGGCAGGGTGGGAGATGTTAGGGTGTAAGGTTGCACTATCTCTCACAGGGAGCAGGATGACAGACATTAGCAGCTCTGTAGTAATGTTCCTTGTAAGGGCTATTAAGGTGGAATGACAGCATTAAAGGGATAGCAGGAATTTTATGCAGAGCAGATGCTTTTAATTTAATCTTCATTCTCAACTTTTAGAAGAGTCTTTTTGTGTTGGTTTCTTAAACGTCTTCTCTCTGCGTCACCTTTTTGTGTTTCTTTATTTGTTGTCTTTGTCTTCGTAGGTCTTGGGGTTGGAGGACTGGACTATTTAAGAACACGTGCACTGCTCTCCCCTCCCTGCACCCCCTCCCCATCCTCCAACCCACTCTGTCTCGCTGTCGTCCCTCATCCCCTCTCCCTCCCCTCTCATTTTTGTTTTGTGTTGTCTGTCTAGACACTGACATTTGGAGAGGGTTGAGGCTGGGATAAAGGGGGGGATGCATACAGGTGGGAGGTGGGTGCATATTTAGACATTTGAAAGTACATCTTTAAAAAAAGAAAAATGGGAAAGAAAGGACAATCTGCTTGGTAGCCCAGTTATTCCAACCCCCCTTTAAATGTATTTTTCTTTAGTTGCCTAATTACGGGACACTTAGAGAAGTTTAAAGAGGAACCAGCCTTGTTTTTTATTTAACTTGTTTTAATTTGGTTGAAGAGGGGAAACCCAAGCAGGTGTGAAGTTGGTGGTGCATTATGGGAGTCAGTTTAGTTCCGTTACCACCTTAAGTCTTAAATCTACTACTCCCTTCATGTTCTCAGTTGAGGATAAATAAGAAGAAACGTTATATTTTTGTTGTACTTTTATGTGTGTGCTTTTCTTTGGAGGGGATTATGTGCAATGTCAGAACTTAAATGCTAAATAATAAATCATGTGTGCAAACCTCAGGTTTCGGTCCTTATTTCTTCACTTGTAGTTAAATCAGCCGGGTATTTGCTTTTGAATAATATTGCATGGTACACAGTTTAGAGCAGTGTTTCTCAACTGGTGGTTCGGGACCCAAAAGTGGGTCGCAGAGCCATTTTCAGTGGGTTGCTAATGTGTACCTGGGGAAAAAACAGTGTCAAAAATGTCTATGAAGCGCTTTTCCAAAATGTTTGTTTTGTTTATTTGTTCTGTCATGTTTTTACTGTCTAAGGTCCAAACGGCACAATTTTATTTATTGAACTGATCTGATCTTTGGGTCGTGGTTTTTCATTAAGGAGCTTGTGGTGGTTTCTGAGGCTAGACCAGTTGGGAAGCACTGGTTAAGAGTATGAATTGGAAATTAAAGAAGGCATTCACAGGTGTTTAAAGTCTTATTATTTACAGTACTTAAATGATTTTAGTCACATGACCACATCATCAGTAATGTCTCTATGCAAATGACCTCAATATAAATCATCAGAGGGTGGTGATACTACACACCAATAAAGAGTAGACCGCAAACAACAAACATTACAAATGGCAAGAAATCACACAACCCCGATGCTTGACCTTAAAAAATGAATCAACATGATATTCTATTTTACAGTAAGCCCATTTGATTGCACCTCTTTCTCTTATGTTTCAGGCTTTTGTTTACGAAACAAAACACATACTGGAGTGCATAAAGAATTGATACTCTTAAACCTCATACCCTTAATGTCAAACACCCCCAAAAAAGGCTGTATGTACACACAAAGTACTAAAATAGATGTTTCTTTGAATGTAGCATTTCTGCAGGACGTGCGGAGTGTCATGATCACAAAAATATTCAGTGACAGCACTTTGCACGAGATTAAGCTGGGAACAGAACAGGATGGAAGACCCAGTTTGGCATGAAGGTGTTTTTCTCCAGGAAAGTTTGAGGAACATCAACAGATCTCATTGGGACTGAATATTGTCTGGTATTCTGCACTGATTTTAAGTACTGGAGTTTCCGACTTCATACTTTATGATACTAAAATTTTTAAAAATAATGGTTTTCCCTCCAAAATGCTTCACTGAATTAAAAGAAAAGTAGTCTTTTTTTAATGAAACTGTTCAAGGAAGTAAACAGGATAAGAGTTCATGAGATATTAAGTATGTAGAATTTATTTATACCCAGCCAAAAGCTAAGTTTTATCCAATCCAACAATTAAAACTATTAAAAGATGGATCTTCCACAGCTTTCCATAATCCTGTATTTAAACTGTTCCAGCTAAATGTTAAATTCAGTCGGGTTTCCACATCCAGAGTGCTCCCAGCTTAGGTACAAAAAGGCAAGAATACTTAACATAATGCTGGCATATAAAGTATGTCCTTGTGTTTTTTTCGCTCTAGTTAAAGTGCAGGAATTCCAAAGTCTCTCCACCTCAATCTGTCAATATTGCAACTGAATGCATCACCATGGAATATAATCTTACCATATTGGCAGTCAATGCCCCCAACAGTCCAGACCTTTTCCCCTCAAACAATAGTCAACTCTTAATCCACAAGTATTTGACCTTCTTCAAAGCTCAAATCGAAACAGTTGACTTCATATTGTAGTGGTGCCAGCAACGGACAATTCCAAAACACCCAAATTGTTGATTCTTTAACACTGCTTTGGCACCACAATATATGAATACAATACTTGACCTCAATATACATATCTGAAAATATAAGTTTGGAGTCAGTTAAACCCAAGCTGTTCTCTGTCCCGTTCCTCTTCAGTTGATGCTTTCATCTCCCAAGTAGTCCAACTCGGTGCTAGGCTTGTCCAGGTCCATGTCGAGGTCCATGTCCATCATTCCTCCCGCTGAGTGATGCTGGAAATTAGCCGCGATCTGGTCGAAGGTCTTGCCCCGTGTCTCTGGGACTCGGAAGAATGTGAAGATGAGGAAGAAGAGGAGGAGTGCAGCAAAGATCAGGAAGACATATGGTCCCAGAAGTTCCTGGAAAGAAACAGATTCAGATAAGATAACATGAGGAGGTGTAGACAAAGAACATTTGAAGAAAATACTTTTGCCTCACTTGGTTGAGGTAGAAAAAGACTTTCCTGGGAGATGTGTGATATCCACTGAAAGTCAAATATACTTACAGCAACATATTGGAAACACATGCCAACGATGAAGTTGGCGGTCCAGTTGGAAAAGCCGGCCACAGCCATGGCAGCCGGCCTTGGACCCTGAGAGAACAGCTCGGCCACAAAGAACCAGGGAATGGGACCTGGTCCAATCTCAAAGAAAGCCACAAAGCCAAATATGGACAGCATACTGATGTAGCTCATCCAAGGAACACTTTCCTATGAGAGATGAAAGAGTTAATAGTCACATACACAAAAGTATCCACATCGGAGGATACTTGAATATTTGGAGGTCTTACCAACAAAGCAAGAGCCGTGGTCATTATGATGGCACAGATGCACATCCCACCAAGTCCAAGCATGTGTAGCGTCCGCCGACCCATCCTCTCGATCAGGAAGAGCTGTTGTTAATATGGAGAATAAGAAGTAAGAAAATGTAGAAACTGAGAGGTTGCATGTTGATAGTTATGGCAATACTTTCTTTAAAAGCTTTAACCAAGAGGAATAGAGGGATTTTACTGCAACCCATTCATATTTTTTATGATAAATTAGAGATACAGCCTTTTTTGTCTCCCAATAGCCTCGCTGCTAGCAAGGCTTAGAAAAAAATCCCACCTTTTATCCGATTTAACAACACTGAAACATCTTGACCTGCCTAACCAAACTTCACCCATTTTTGATGCACAAATGTTTGACAGGAGGACACATGAAAAAAAAAAGACATGTTATCTTATTTGCTCTTTGATAACAATGTTAAACAGTCATAAATGCACCCTTTGATACTAAACAGGACTGAACTCTTAACTGATCTTAATTTAGAAACAGATTGAACTAGATTCTCTTAACAGGGTGGAGGAGCACACTCAAAGCCAAGACGACGAACTGTAGGACTGACCGAGACCACAGTGAAGGCACAGTTGACCACGCCTGCTCCTATGGTGGCATACACCGGACTCTGGACTCCGGCCTTCATGAAGATACTGGTGGAGTAGTAGAAAATCTGTCCAGAGGGGTAAACAGATTGAATCAATATTGTTCTGCAGTGATTCAGTTTATCTATAAAGAGCTTCAATGTTTCTCTTTCAGGTGTAAAAACCCCCTGACTCACTGCATTGACTCCAGAGAGCTGCTGTGAGAGCTGCAGCAGGATGGAGATGATGATGGGCTGCCGATAGAGAGGAGAGCGGAAGAGCTCCAGGATGGACACCTTCCTCTCCATGTCCATCTTTCTCTTCTCCTCCTTCATCTCTGCCAGCATGTCGCCCACCTCCTGTTTGCCCGTTAACCTCCTCAGGCCTGCACGAAGGAAGAAGTGAGAAGTGAGCGTGTTATATAAAAGTTCCTGTCACTATGAAAATACCAAAGCTTTAGGTCTTTTAAAGATCTTAAATGCTTCTTAGAGAAACTTGTTCTTGTACATTCAGCCCCATAAATGTTACATGTGGGACATTTTAGCACTGTAGTTGAAGTTGCTCTAACTTTTACAGTGCTGCATATGACAACACAGTTTAGGAAACAGCACAAGAACTTTTTTTCGTTCAGTCTTCACAACGATGTCCCTTAGCTACACTTTGAGACGACAGATGAAACTTAAGGGTAAATAAATGTACCCTTACTGCTCTATCTTCTGGTTAATTTCATCTGGGTTTTCTGGGACCAACAAATACAAATAGTAGCCTTACTAATCCAAATTCCCTTCTGCATTGTGCACAAAAATACACAAAATGTAAAATAAATTATTTGTTGCACAGCATGATTTGATTACTGTAGCCACGCTTACAGAAACCAGTCAGGAAAGTGCCTTTTTCATACAAGTGGGCCTGCAAAATTCTGCATAAGCTTATTAATATCAAAGATATCATTAAAATGTACTGCCATAAAAGCGTATAGGAGTATACTGCTCCTATACTGACTGTTGATGATGTTGACATAAATATAATATCAGGGTTTAAGATTGACTGTGTAAAGATTTAACAAAAAACGGATGATAAATTAAGTTTTTGTTATCCAGGCGTACTATAAATAAAGCATATTCAAAGGTTAAATCCAGTCTGCAGCACTCCAGCCCCCTTCACCTCTCTTGGCGTGGTGCTCCTGGCAGCGGACGATGTAGAGAAAACGGGGGCTCTCAGGGCAGAACGGCAGAAGAGCCATCTGAAGGACAGTTGGCACGACTGTTAAACCCATCAGGACAGGCCACAAGTGCTCACTGCCCAGTAACACCTCCAGACCCAGGACCTGCACCAGGAGACGGACCCAGTGTGAGTACACAAGATTTTACATAAAATAAAAAAAGCATTCAGAAAAAGGCTTTCCAAACTACGACTACAAAACATCCATCTTTGTTGATATTGCAGCATATACGAGAGACAAAGAGACGAATGGATGAAAAGTGGAATGAAGCTTCAAGGACTATAATGAAGAGGAGAAGGTGCTTTTGAGAGGTGAAGGATAATTCTTTTAATCTGCATTTATTGAGTCAAATTCTAAATTTAAAAGCGTCTATGATTTCCACATCTTCATCAGTATAGTAGTGTGGTTTCAAACCTGTGCTATGAGAATACCAGTGACTATAGCCAGTTGGTGCAGCGTGCCGAGGGCCCCTCGCAGACTTGTTGGAGATATCTCACCCACGTACATCGGTGTCAAACCTGATGCCAACCCTGGACATATAGGAAAAATAGGATAGGAGAGAGAAACTTTTTAATACTCTTTGAATTTCTTGTGATTTTAAATACAGAGAGAGAAAGTAAAAAAAGTGGATCGCTCACCACAGTAGGCCCCAATAATAAAGCGTCCGAGGATCATCATTTCGAAGGAGCTGCACAGCTTGGACATCCCCATTAGACTCCCGCCAAGGAAGGCGAACACGTTGTTTACGAGCATGGCTTTCCTCCTGGGAAATACACAGACAAGATACTTTTTTTTCAGTTATTCAGTTTCCAAATGGAACATTGTGACTTTAAATCCAATATACGGTGATTTGAATTTGACCATTTTATCAAAAGAGATTCCAGCCACTTGAGACGAGTCATTTAGAGCCCATATTAACTCAGCTTTAAGCACCTTTTGATGAACATACAAATGACTGTTGCTTCTGTAAACAACCTTAATGTTGTTAAAGATTGACAAAATTAAAATCTAAATGATTCAAACATTTTTTAAGGTTATTTTGGAAGGCATCATGTGACCCCCGTCTTGGTGGCTAGCGACCCCCACTTTGTGAACCACTGATGTAGTTGACACACATCATATATACTGTGCATGGATAAGAATGTTATAGTGAATATATTGAAGGTGAGGATATCGAAATAACATTTTATTTCTAATAATTCCCTTCACAGATTGAAGGTTACTGAAACTGTTGCCTGGATGTTTATCACTGAGGAAATCCACTAAAACTTTCACCTCTAGAGAGCAGTGTCATACCAAAAACATTGAGTAAGTTGCTTCATTCAGCGATCCATTATTATTCGACAATTAGCCCTAACAGTCTTAATAACACATTAACCTCGCATATTTACAACAATTTTGATGTTTTAAGTTATTTACTTAAACTTTCAATTTTACAATTTAATAATTTAAGTTGTTTACCTGAGAAACACATTGAATACAGCATAGATAGGGACTCAAACTCTAGACTACCTGTATTAATAAACTCAACACTTACCAATACTTAGTACATATCCTCTCAGCGCATGGTGTTAGACTTAGAATATGTTTATAATGACAGCTTGAAACTGACAATTGTTCCACAGCAAGAACGTTACCTCATTTTACATTTTTCAAAGTACATCTACTCATCTTAAAAACATCCAGTCTATTTTTCAGACGTTTGACTCCCAAGACATACAGTGTTTTCTAAATACATGTGAAGTGCATCCTTAGATTATGTGCATTAGGGTGCAGTTTTCCACATCACTTCTGTATAAAGTGTATTTTGGTACTTGTGATTTAGATAAAAATCAATCGGGAACATAATTAAACCCTGATTTAAGCAATAGATCATATGTCTCTTTTTGGACAGATTCTTCTTTAGACAGTGAATAATAAAGCTCATACATTCAGAAACGGACACATAATTTAACAAATGAATATAAAATAGTCTGTGAAACCTTATTTCTTCTTCTTTAAAAAACTAGTAGACCACTAACAGTGTCTGTTACTTTCTCTGTCAGCCACCAAACAATAAGATCTACTGTTTAAAATGAACACTGGCTGCACATTCGAGACATCACTTGCATGTGAATCATTTTGACCTCAGAGGTCACAGCGCTGCAGCTCAGTTGAGACACACTGTGTCCGCCGCTTTTTTAAGAGGACCTTGTCCTGAATGCACCCAAGCTGAACACTACACCAATACCCCCATTCCGCCGCTCAGCCCTCCGTGACCCAGCGCTGCCAATCCTCAACAGTCAGTGGGAGCTGTGGGCTGCCCGGTTTACAGTCCTGTTCGCATCACAGCTAAGGTTGCAGAGGATTACTTCCTGGGCAAAGTTTCCATTGAATGATGAGGCGTTTCTTTAGATCTGTGATCCATGTAGAAATGGAGACACTGATGTAGCATGACAAGCTGAAATATCCCACAGATTACCTAACAGTGTACGAGGGTGTGGATTTAAGGGAATTTATAAAGTGTGTTAGAACTACAATAAATATATATTGTAGGATATAGGACGTTCTGTTAATTTAAATCTTATTTTCCAACTCTTTTTTGTTTCTTTTGAGATGTATTTGTAACTCCCTGGGATGGTACCACTTCTAAAATGTTTTGCTGTGTCATAGACTGCAAATTATTATTATTTTTTGAGTAATTTTTAGAAAAGTTTCAACACCGCTAACATAGGCACCTGAAACAAAAACTGCATGTTTATGTATGGAGATTGAACCTGAAGACGCCACATTATGAAACACGTTGTTCGCTCCAATGTTTTATTACACTTTTAAGTCCATGTGAACAATCGTGGTGTGCGCTGGAAAACTCTGATCTTGATTGCATGTGTATGTGTTTCCCCTACCTGCCCAGCCACTCAGAGACGAAGCCCACGCAGAAGGAGGACAGCATGCCACCAATGGAGAAGATAGCGACAGACAGAGACCAGAGGGAGGTGAGGGTCCCCGTGGGGATGGGCTCTCCATACCGTTCAATCCATGTTGCATTATAATCCTTCTCAATCATCTGATCAGGACACAGAGGTGACAGGAGAACCAAAGAAATACTTGTTTAACAGCAGGTGATATCAGTTTAAATGCACAAGAAAAAAAGATCTCTAGGCACTAAACTTATTTTTATCATAATTGAAGTAACACAACAACTGGAATTACATTTAGCCTTTATAAACAGACAAAAAACGAAGAGAAAGAACAAGATACAACAGATAAAGAAAGCCTTAAAATATAAAATAAGGAACCCTCCCGCAAAAAAGAGATAACATTCTTCATCAGAGGAAGATTTCATCTGAATAAAATAGATTCATATGAAGGCTTCATCTAAAAAAACACAAAAACACAAAGCTATCTATTTCAAGGAGACACAGTGCAGAAACCCAAAGCCTTATTTAAAAGATAATAATAATTAGTCATCTATAAATCAAGGGATTTTCATCAGATGGTAATGTGATTTATTGAGCGCATTAAAACAACCTACGTAGGTAGTAACATCTAAAAACTATTCATTTTGTAATAGCCAACAATTTTCCATTCAATTATCACAGGCACATAAAAACAGCTTTTGTTCTCGAGTCTCTTTGACACTGACTGCACCAGCGGTCGTGTCTGAAGGCCCTCACCTGACGAGTTCTTTGCGAGTTCTTTGCGGCCATTAATTCCCTCTGATTGACTCTGAATGTGTTACAACATGCCGATGACACTCTACTGTTCGGTCTAACGTGACAGATTAATGATGAATGCAGTGGAAGAATTTCCATCATCTGCAATGTGTTTCTTGATTGACCTGCATATGGAGCAGGATACATACTAAATATAGGCCGTCGTGAATCACACACTACATTTCTCACATTCAGTACTGAAGCGTGCCTCACGCTGGAACACCAAATGTGACTTCAACACGAGCAAGTCCAGAGAAAGTTTGATTTTCTATGTTTATACATACACATGAAACCAAATACATACTACTGTACAGTATATACTAAACTATATAAGCTAAATTAAGACACACCAATAATGTCAGGCTATAGCCACTTTCAAGCTTAAATAACCATTTTCAAGTATTAAATGATAAAATAGTAAAGGCATTAATTCCTAAACCTTAAAGGTTTAATAAGGCTGTAATGGAGGCGGCAACCTTCTTGCGGAAGTGCAAGAAACTGCAGTTTCACATTTATAACTGCAGAGTTTTAGTTTAACACTTTGAAACAGTTGTGTAGATTGGAAATGATTGAATTCTAGCTAGCTGTTGTATTTAAATAGCTCAAATTTAATCAGTTATGTTATATAACAAGAAACTATGGCTGTGGCTCAGTTGATAGAGTCGTCACCTCTCAACTGGAGGGTCGAGGGTTTGATCCCCAGCTGAGCAACATGTCCGATGTGTACTTGGGCAACACATTGAACCCCGCATTGCTTGGATAAAAGCGTCTGCTAAGTGAATTGTAGAGTTGTAGAACTAGGGTCCGATGTCCCGCGATGTCACTGTATTTTGTCTTTTTTATGCTGATGAATCTGGATCTGTGAAATTATTATGATTTCAAATTCTTTCAACCCAGAATCAACCCATTATAACGTCCCGCCATTAGCAAAAGGAAAGCGGCTGCTCTTAATGGGGTGTTTTGTTCTGTTTTCATAAGAGCGTGCTGTATTTACACAACTAACCCGCCTGTGCTTGAGCCCTTCTTTCACATTAGGTGTTCATGTGCTTCCCTTTTGTTTGCTTCAGTTTCACGTGATTGGAATTGTTTCTGTCTCTCAGAGTTTATTTTCTAAACATCATCACTACTATATCTGCCAGGTATTGTGTCATCAAACACCTTGTAATACCACAAATACAAGCATCAGCAGAGAAGACTTCTAGTTAAATGTCACCATTGGAACTTCTATAACACTTCAATATCGTAACTATATCTGAACCAATTTTAAGGTTTTTTCTTGGCTACTTTCGAACACCATCTTTCGATTCTTTTTTACCTTCTGAGGTGCATTGATGACGCCAATGTTGTATCCAAACTCCAGAGATCCCAGGACGGCAGTGAAGACTGAGAGAACAAAGGTTCCAGTCACCGTCTGGAGTAAAGACACACAAAAAGGAAACATAAAATGAGTTAAGCAACATATTTAAAACAAGATCATTTTCAGAATAGAGGGAAGGCTGAAAGGCTTTAAACATAATAATGGCAGATAATAAGAGATCTTAAGCTTCCAGCCCTAATTCACTCACATCTACTATATATAACTGTGATTCTAATGAGATACAATCTCTGCAGCATGTTCTTCACTGATGACGCCTGAACTTTAACTTCACTTTCCCGTCAGGCGGCTGGCACCTGTCTATGGTGACTGACGGGACGTCCTTGGGGAGATGAGGTCTTCCCCCCGACAAAGTGTCTATTGGCCTGGCAGAACAGTTTCACACACTACAACTGAAACATTAGTTAGCAGCTCAATGTCTAAAGCAGACAAAAAATTGTGAATTTTATAATGAGCTGTTAGTCCTGAGACCTGCTTGATAAAAGCGATCATAATTACTCATAACATTACCTCAAACTTTGGCTTTTTGGTGATGTTTGCTTTTGTGGATGTAATGCTTTAGTGTGTGGAAATACACTTACCTTTTAAATGTTCACAACTTTATTATAACTAAATATTGAGATAATTCAAATTGATTTGGAGCGTATTCTGGATTATTTACTCTTTTATATGTAGTATTACAAACTATCTTTTTTAATATGTATGAAATACTTCTATTACACTGTTTCTCCCCCTCTCTGTGGTGAGTCTCTAAATAAGTGCTGTTTAGTATTCATGACCCAAACAAAGGTGTGTGCGTGTGTGTGTGTGTGTGCGTGTGTGTGTGTGTGCGTGTGTGTGTGCGTGTGTGTGTGTGTGTGTGTGTGTGTGTATGTGTGTGTGTGTGTCCTTGCAACAGAAGAAAAGGTAAGCACCTGAGGCAGCCAGTTATGCTCTATTACACTTAAAGTTAAGTGTATTTCATTGAAAATGTCCCGACATAGTTGAAGGCTCAGTAGTTTCCCCACCCCCTTTTTTCTTTTTTTACAAACAATGATTGGATCTGTACATAACGTTTCAGTATAAAACAGATGTTGTGATGCCTCAGTAATTAAAAGGACAAACATTTTTCCTCAGTTTTAAGTTGAATGCTTAAAGGATTTATGTAACATTGAAGCCAAAACTTTGAGGCTGATAGAAGTTCCCATATTCCTGCAGCATCACTCTCCCATATTGCTGAAATTGCTGACAAATCTGCAAATCTGATGATTTAGAAGCTTTAGGAGTTGTTGTCTTCATTGACATCACTCTGTGTTGCACTTAAAGAGATATTGTACTTTCCAAAAAGACCTAAAATGGTTGAAACATGCAGCTAACCTAGAAACATTTCTCAAACAGAGCTGGAGGGAGCATAACAACACAGCTGTTGTTGATGAGGGTGGTGAAAAGGAACCAGTTAAACTAGGTGGCCTATAACAAACCCAGACACTGAGAGATCTGACCTGTAAACTTGGATATTTGGTAGGACAAGGTCACTGCTCAGGACTAAATAAGGGCCAGAGCTCGCTCTGATCAGAGCTGATGATAGTTTTCCTGCCTGCTGAAACTGACACATTTATTCTTTTGGTTGTTGTAAACAATTCATTATTTTATTGTTTATTTATATATTGGCCCTTAAGTAAAAAAAGAATATGGACCCTTGATTCATGACAAATTCAGAATCTTAATTGATATATTTATTAGTTCTCATATTGTTTTTACAACAAATCATTGTGTTAACACTTATTTATTGTATTAAATGAGGCTCATAGCAATTCAGTATAGCAAAGCATGTTCTTTTACAGTCTTTGTGTACCACTGCGTAAAAGCTCACCAAATAAAATGACGCCCCTCTCCAAAAGAACAACCAAAATACCTGCACAGCATGTGAAACATTTTCATGAAACATAACTTCTAGTAACAAAAAACCCTTTATTTTTAAGTTATGAAGAACTCTCAAGGAAAAAATTACCTCCCCTCCGAGTTGCTGAAACCCGGCCGGCATGACTGTGGCAGCTCCAGGCACCCAGTACTAGTCGATGACAGGTGCGTCTGGTGCCAAATAAAGACACGTGAAACTTCCTCAAAAGGACAACAAGCCCCGACTTAAACTTCTCAAAATTTTGGCACCAAACGCCGGCGAAAGTAAAATCCAGAAGAAACACCCAAAACGATGATCCTGGTGCGTCCTGTCCTGCAGTGTGTCCTCTCTTCTTTGAACTTTGTGTTGTGTCCGCTCAGCTGGGATAGAGTGACACCCGCACACCCACATGCACGCCTCTCTGTGTAGGGGAGGGGAAGTGGAGAGAGGGTCACGGTACTCTAGTCCAAGTAGGCTGATCTTGAGGTCCTGCAGCAGAGGTCGAGTCTTGGCAGGAAGCTCCTTTGCCCTTAAGTACTATTGGCTGATGGTGACAGGAGGAGGAAGAAGAAAACTGGAGTAATGTGACAAGAATGGGATCTGTTTTTGTATTATGGTGGGCAAAAGATTCGGCAAAGTTAAAAAGAAGCTAAGTTTCGAGATTCCAGAGCCAAATTTAGTTTTAGGGCTCCCTTTTGCAGCCTGTTGCACAATGAAACTGACCTTTAAAAAGTAATTAACTCTTATGTAGCTACAGAAGAGGAAACCTGTGGAGCATCTTTCTCCTCACTTTGCTTATGTGGTGCAACATTTGACATATCAGGTTAAATGATCACATTTTGACCATTAATTATTTGAAGTATCACCTGCAGAATGTATGAGAGATGAGGTAATATGGCTGCACAGGTGTTGGTCCTCAGGGGAACTTGAGTCTGAATGAAACAGCTGCCGGCTATGACTCAACATTTCTGCAGGGAAGCAAAGAGGGGCTCGACTTCACCACTGTGGTTGCCATTGTCTGTCGTCCCAACAGCCATAAATCCCTTTCTATTTTAGAGCACATGCCAAAGAGGTCACAAACCAAAGCCTGCCCTTTTCCACAAACCCCTCCCCCTCTGTTGCACACAACAAAGCTTAATCGTCCTGGGGAAGACAACAGGTGGACCCTAAATCTGGCCTGTACTACCTGAGTTAGCAGCGAAAGTGTGGTTAGGGGAAATTTGGCGACTGAGTGGTGGTGTGTCCGAGGCGGGGATAAAAGGGGATATGTAATGAGAGGGTTGCACTGGGCGGGAAAAGTACAGATCTACCAAAGAGCTCATTGGAAAAATATCTGCTCGAGATCTCTCTATCAGCTGATTCAAGCCTTCCCCTTTTGCAGACACACCTCCAACCTCACGCCACTCTCTTCTTGGAGCTCACCGCTGTTGCCCCCCCTTCCCCCCATGCACATTGAGAAAGGGAAGAAGAACCTGACACCCCTCATCTAAAGCCAGTGGCCCCCCAGCACTGTCATGTGTGTGGCTCTGACTAAATGTAGAGAAACTTTACACCATCAAGACAGTGCCTTAGAGCCCCCTGCGACATAGTTTGAGGGTTCATGTCTGCAACCAGAGCCAGAGCTACATTTCCAAAAAGTATCACATGAATTCATACAGAGAGAGCCAAGAACAATGATATAACTACAAGTATGTAAAGTTAAGCGAATACTCACAACCTCCAGACAAAACAAAAAGCATAGCAGCTAGTATATTTATCTAAAAACACCCGTTCAGCAATATTTTTACAGTGTGAAATGTCACCTGTGTTGTCCCCAAGCTGGAGATGCCAGCGACTGTGAGTCATACTGTTGTCTAAAACACAAAATGCACAACATGTGACTGCCCTTCCTTACTGACCAAACTGATGCAGATAAATAGCTCATGTAAATACTGTTCCTTCTTGTCACATGTGTGTGTGTGTATGAGTTTGTGTGTGTGAGTGGTTGGTAGGGTCAGCTGGTTCAAAATCATGTTACTGTAAAATGAGTCGCGTGATGGATGGCAGGTCTACAGTGTGGTAAGTTTCAGCGTGTTACAGGCAACACACTGAATCCAATACGGACACTAAGATATATATTTTGGGTTAGAGAAAGCCACTCATTTGCATGTTCCTGGGAGTTTGGTGAGAAAATTGCTACAAACCGTCATTTGTGATTATTCAGTAAAAGGCTACGGCCATGATATGTTTTGCTTAGCTTGACATAAAAGGTAGTAAAATACGCCTACCAGCACATCTAAAGTTTGCTATTAAATCAGTTATATAATCTAATTATTCAGTACAAAAACATCTAAGGTGCTGTTTCCAGTTGTGATGCTAAGCTAAGCTAAGCAGCAGCTAACTGCAGCTTCATATTTACGTTACAAACGTGTGTGTGTGTGGTATCAATCTACTTGTCTCACTCTTGGCAGGAAATAAAATCAATGTAACTCCTAAAAAAGAAAACTAGTCTTTTAGTTAATGCCAAAAGGCCACAAAACAGTTTACACTTTTTCCTGAACCTGAGTGGTGGAGAAAAAAAAAACAAATAGAGAATCAACTGTTTGAACATTTCTTTAATAACAGTGACAGGTGTGCCATTTGTTTTATGCATTGTTACATGTAAGATGTCATTTTAATGCTGTACAAAAGTTCTTAGATAGAGAAATATCCACAGGAGCTCCACATTGAAATAAATATTATCCATGGCATAAAAGCCAATATTTAAAAAAGGATGTAAGGTTTGTCAATTAGGCTAATTATACAACAAATAAAGCAGGCCATAAACATGATAACAAAGTGCAATATTGAAGAAAACAGTGCAGTAATCTTGAAAATGTGTGTATATATTCCACCTTACTCTTATTCGTGTAAATATTTATTGTACCTATTATTGAAACTTACATTCCTATTCTATTTGATTAATATTTTTATTACCATATTTCTACTGCTATATTGTTTATTTTGGAGCAACTGTAACGACCGAATTTCCCTCTGGGATTAATAAAGTATTTCTGATTCTGATTCCGATCTTTAACACGATGAAAGGCCTACATTTGTATGTAGCTCCAAAATAATGCACCTAATGACCACTACATTACAATAAAACTCACTAAACAGGAAGTGCATGTTTCGACAGTATGCAATTCAATCAGAAAATGAGTTCTCATAAATGTGTGAAGGTCTTTGCTGTGTGCTTACTCTCAGACAACGTAGTAACAACCGGAAAGCATTATAAAGGGATACTCATTCATTCAGCTGTACCTGTCTATCTTTATAACATGCACTAAAAATATAAAATATGAAATAAATATATCAAATTATTATAATCCTACAAATTCCCTCTTTCTCTGTCCTTGTCCTGTTCTGTAACACCTCATTATTGTATGTATGTGCAGTGCCAGTGGGATCATGTTTGAAGTGGACCTGCTGGCACCATCACCACATTCACTCAAAGGTCAGACAACCACCAAGCCTCAAAGTGGAACTAATAACTGCTATGTACGCAGAGAGGCAGACGAGTACCAACATTCATTGCATGGTCTTTAGACAGGACTCATGTCAGTTCAAGACAAGATGCCAGCACTGTGGCTGTCTGGCCTGACATGGCTGAAGACACCTATGATTCCCTGCAGCTCTCCCTCGTGGTTTAAATCCTTGCGTCTGTTAGAGCAGACTATGACATCATCAAACATTGTTAAAAAGTAAAAAATAACGAAATTAAGTGTGGACTGGAACAGAGGCCATGTTTACACTTACGCATTATAACGTCCATCCTGTGTGGAGCACATACGGAGGTGGTCTGGCACACATTTATCAAGATTGGTTTAGTGTAAATGCTCATGGGTCCTGGGCAGCATTAAGCACAGCCAATGCTGCCTCCCGCTGGGGGTAAACAATCATGCATTCAGTCTTTTCAGATTGGCGGGCACTTCAGAGGCAGGAGCACAGTGTGGGATCTCCTCTTAAACAGAGCAATACAGAAAGTCTTGTAAGTACCTGGGGGTTCACCTCAACAGTTAACTGCGCTGGTCTAATAACACAGGTGCACTCAACATTAATCATCTCAGCATCTGCTGAGGAGACTCAGGTCCCTCAGATTGCAAGGACCATTCCTAAGGACCTTTTATTTTTTGAATCTGTGCTATCAGTCACCCTTTATTGAGTGGTCTGCTCGAGCAGCAGCATCACTGCTACAGACAGGAAAAGACTGATATAGGGCGGCCCCCTCGACCCTGTGGTGGTGGTGGTGGTGGTGGTGGGAAACAGGCGGATAACAGCAAAGCTTTCTTCTCTCATTTACAACATTTTTCACATCTTGCATGGCACAGTAACAGTGCAGCTCTTTCAGTGACAGGCTGCTTCACCAGCTCCTTCCAACGGCTGTCAGACTTTCCAACCAAACCGGCTCCAAGTAGAACATTAAAGAACACACACAAGCAAGAAAATAAACTTACTGCTATCATGTATGTGAAATATGTATAAAGCTTTCAATACTAATGTGCAAAAAAACATTTGGAATGTGCAATAAATTGCCCAACCCATTTTTTGCACTGTATGCAACTTTATAGTAACAGTTTTTCTTTCACTTTTTGATTATCTCTAAACTGTGCGCGCTGTGTGATTCCTGCTTTGCTTCATAGTTTCTTTTGCTGCTATTAACTGGAAATTTTCATCGCTGTGGGATCAGCAAAGGTTTATCTTATTTTATTGTAACTAATTTACATCTCTCGGGTGTTACCTCATTCAACTGTGCATTTATAGATACTTAGGAATACTTTAGAATATATCAGGCTCAAAGTTTGCAAACGTTTCTGGTTTTACAGCGGGGGGTTTATCAGTAAAAAAAAATATATATAAGTATAGTATTTAACTGGAAGAAATATATTCTCAACTGGACCACCAAAAAACAACAAGGTGAATACTAATGAAGATGTACTGGAGTTTGTAAAAGCAAAATAATAATAATAAAAAAAAGAGAAATTGTATGAACAGTATTAACTCATTTGCTTTTGTGTCTTAATGATGTGATCTCTTAATCAAGGTAATGTAGTCATCTTTAAACTAAGTAGGCCTGTGTGGTCTTTCAAGTTGATATCATAGACTGTGAAGTTGAAATCACCACGCAATAGGCGACACTTGTTTACTGTGCGTCATAATAACGTCACGTTGCCTTCAGGTGTTCAGGAGATGCCTGTTTTTTCTGCAGTCCACCACTCGTTTTGCGATACTTTTTAAAATATCAAGTCCCGTTACAAACAATCTATTTTCACATTTGCAGTGAGCTTTCATGGCATCCTGAGCCTGACACGTTGAGAAACTCGGTATTAATTAAATACGTATGCGAATATTACTCTTATTGTTTTGTATATGTTTCAAAAAAAAAAAAAAAAGTATAAAACGAGAATAACAACTTGGCCGTAATGACGAAGCAGGACTAAACACAAATCACTGTCACCCCGGTGGAGGGATTTCTTGAACAAATATACGGCTAAATTATACGGAGCTACCTCGTCGTTGTTCAGTCGCTTTTTGGCGCTAATAAGTCCGGGCAGTGTTAAATGCGTCTTTACACGATACGCGTCATGAGAGCAGGGTGCGCTGTGATTGGACGCTGCCCCTCCCCCTTTACTTCAGTGGGAATCCCCGTACAACAACAGCAGCGTGCTGTTCGCTACCCCCCAAAATATTTTGACTGTTTTCTCGACCGTCTTCACACTCACCGCGTCGCCCGTGACTAACCACACGCAGTGCCAGAAAAACAAGGTAACCGTGTCTTCAACCACAGCTCGTCCGACATGAGTTTACACATCATTCGTCCGACAGAGAAAGTTTTTTCCTGTAGTTTGTGCTCGTCGGATTCCTGAACGTAAAGTCAACGTGTTAGCTAATTAAGCTAACGCGGCTTGCAAAACAAAAAAAACAACGTGTACGCGGAACATCTACGAGATGACCCATTGCTTTTCCTACATAAATGCTGTGACAGCTATAATCAGTAGTTTTCGTTGAGAGAGTTGATATATATATAAACATGTTTTGAAGTGATCGGTGTGTCGGTGCTGTTAGCTTCATTCAGATTTTGAGGCCTGTCCGCTCCACAGAAAATGGACGATCTCTAAAGTTCCGAAGCTGAATGGTCCTGTCCGGTTTGTTGTGGGGAGGGGGATTTGTTTCTGTAAGCAAGTCAAACGAGTTTAACTTGTTAATTTATTTCTGATAAATAAGGCTTCATTTGTAATAAAATGTTGGATTAAGCGGATTTTACTGAGTAACTTCATCGTTAGTCAGCATTTCAAATCTCTGAGGGCCTGCATGTTCTCAACCCGCGTTTCCTGTGTGGCAGAAATCACAGTTAATGGGTTTTTTTTTTATCATTCACATGCACACTTTTATCAGACTCTTACAACTTTTAAATCTAGTGTAAGTCAAACATTTGAAAACACCATTTTGATTATTTATAATATGTTATGTAGAATGACTATTAAATAAAGCAGAATAATAAACAACTAGGAGCTGATGTTCTATACTGCAGGCAACCCGCCAAGTAAGATTGATTAAGATCAAGTTGCTTCCTAACTCATAGGTCTAAGTGCATTTTCTCTCTTCCTGTTGTGTTCCCACAGACCCCCTGCAGCGGCGCTGTGTCTGCAGAGTATCATCATGATGGAGGACGCCGCCTCGAGCTTGGACAATATCTCCCTGAGCCAGACCCTGCCGCTGAGCCAGGGTTCATTTCACCAGCTGTGGAATGTGTAAGTTGTTATGTGACATTAGGTAACATTTTACAACTTCAGAAAAGCCGACTAATCTGTTTTTCTTTGTTTGCAGTCTAACTGATGGGGTGGCAGAGGATGGGGTCAGAGGAATGGATATGCTGGTAAGTTCTGATTTTTTTTTTCTTTCTTTCTTCACATAATTGTCACTTAAATCTGGTTTAAACCTGTTCATCTATGGAAGTCAGACTGACACTCTTTAATTCCCCTCTTTTTGTAGCTTATGAATGAGCATGAGCTCACTGGATTCGATGAAACTCTTTTTAACTTACCCGAGATGTCCACTAAAGAAACAGTGACTCCCCCTGCGTCCACTGTCCCTGTCACGAGCGATTATCCTGGGGACTTCGACTTCCAGCTCCGCTTTCGGAAGTCTGGCACAGCCAAATCCGTCACATCTACAGTAAGTAATGCTTAGACAAAAATGTAAAGCTCCTAAACGAAAGTGGTTTTGTTGATGATTGTGTTGGAGACAAATTGAAGTGTGAAAACATCCATCTGTCTTTTTTCAATATGAGAGTGAACTGCCAACAAAAGCAGCAGCAATCTGAAGTAACTGTGCAGTGTGTGTTAATATAACAGAAATGAACAGAAAGTTAATGATAGGCAATTTATTTAAAAGTTCGTCAGATTATACTGCGATACAACATGGCAAGAGAAGAAGTTTCCTGCCTGAGTCCTCACAGAGAACAAAAGAAATCTCAGCAGCTGCTCACTTCTGAGCCGCCATTCAGTGTTCCACTATGTTTAGTTTATACATTTCTTTATACTCAGAAAATCTGCTCCTGTCTGTTTTTGTTTTATTTCCGAAATCAAACTCAACATCAATTCATTTTCACTTTTTTTTGGGATAAATTTATAAGATTTTACGAAGAAAACTCACTCACGGTCTCTTAAGTTTTGATCACCTTCAACATTTTTTGATTTTCTTAAAAACTTTTTGTATGAAAGTATGAAATGTCTTACCTTAGCGCTTGATAAAAATCCATTCTTTGGTATCTCTTGTGGTGGCGCTCATGTGGAGTCGTATTCATTGTGGCGATTCGCTAAATTTCGAAGCCTAGAGTCAGCCACTACGTTTGAACAGCCAATGGTTTTTAAGCTTCCACGGTGACTCTCCCAGCAGCGCTCTGCAGTTGGCCAGTTTAGTTGAAGTTAGTGTGATCTGCCCCTAAAACCCCCGCCTCCTCTGCGACTTGTGCTCTGGTCTGTGGGCAAGGTTCAGGCTGTGGTTGTAGAGCAGAGCTCTGACATGACGGGACATGTTCCTGCTCGGTCTTCCCCCAGCACAGAAAGGGTTAATAAAAAAGAAGAAAGGTAGAAAGCATTATAATTTAATGCACCTGGATTTACTTATTTGAAGATTTCTGTTGTTTGATTTTGAAGTTGGATGAAAAGTTTTTAGTTTTCTTTTCTTTGAGTTATTTCCTTCTAATTCAGATATCAGGCTGATATTTGACATTTACTCGTTCTGCTGCTCCACGGGTGGTAAAATGTCCTCTCTCCATGCTTTCTCACAGTATTCCGAGCTCCTCAACAAGTTATACTGCCAACTCGCCAAAACCAACCCCATCGAAATTCTGGTGAGCAGGGAGCCTCCTGCGGGAGCGATGATCAGGGCAACTGCAGTCTACAAGAAGACGGAGCATGTGGCTGAAGTTGTCCGCAGATGTCCCCATCACCAGAACGAGGACCGTAAGGACAATCCGTCAGGTAAAAAGTGCATATCATGAACTAGATTCAATCATATTGTTACTATGATAGAAGTGAAGGGATTTTAATTGGGTCTACTTTGTTTTCCATTCAGCTGCAGAGAACAGCAGTCATCTGATCCGGGTGGAGGGAAGTGAGAGAGCTCAATATTTTGAGGACGTGAACACAAAGAGGCAGAGTGTCACTGTCCCCTACGAGGCTCCACAGGTAACAGTGCCCCCCCCTTCATTCTGTCTGCGGGGAACAGATCTATGTTTCTTCATTGTAATTCTGAAACAATCAGGAAGTTGTCTTGTCTTCTGAATGATAGGCTGCATCTTTTTAACCCCGAAAACAAGTGACCAGTAAATATCTGGGTGAACTCACACACTTACTAGTGTCTCTCTCTTGTCCCAGTTGGGCTCCGAGATGTCAACCGTCCTCCTAAGATTTATGTGCAACAGTTCCTGCATGGGGGGAATGAACCGACGTCCAATCCTCACAATACTGACCCTCGAGACCCCCGAGTAAGTCCTGCTTCTTATTTAACAGACATGGTTGGGCTGTTGAGTGTTGACCAAATGATGTTCTACATTACTGTTCCCATTAGGTCTTGATGATGTTTTTTGGACTCTTATTTCTGTTCCTCTTTCTCTCAGGGGGCATGTGCTGGGTAGGCAGTGCTTTGAAGTCCGGATCTGTGCATGTCCAGGCAGGGACCGCAAAACTGAGGAGGAGAACAGCACCAAAATGCAGAACAGCACAAAAGAAACTAAAAAAAGAAGTACGTCTAAGTTCTCACTTCAGATTCAATATTGTGACCCTCACATGCTGATCCTTCACTAACCACCCGTTTTTTTTGTCTTTTCTTCAGAGAGCGTGCCTTCACCTGATTCCACTTCCACAAAGAAGCCAAAGTCGGGGTCAGGCACAGACGAGGAGGACAGGGAGTGTTTCGTCCTCCATGTAAGTAAAGATCCATACTGCTTTAAAGCTGGAGGTCTTTATAAGAGTTTGCTGTTCAACTCATTTATGTTCAATCTCTGCTGCAGGTCCGGGGGAGGGAACGCTATGAAATGCTGAAAAAAATCAACGACGGCTTGGAGCTGCTGGACAAAGAGGGGTGAGAGATGCTTCCTGTGTTTTTACATCAACACACCTCAATCACTTAGTTTGATCATTTTCAATCTTCATGGTGTTTTGTAGAGTAGGTCAGCATTGATGAATCAACATGATTGACCTCATTTTGTGTAACTTATTGAAATATCGTTGTAGTATCCCATGATTGATGTTGAAGTAGAAAAGATAATCCTTAATAGATCGTGAGAGAGGCAAATCTTTCATTCAGGCCTGTGCTGCGAAGCTTTAAGATCGGCCATGTTCAGGGTTGTATCATACTTGCACTATCTGTTGGCACAGCATCGTAACGGGTATTGACATGAAAAGAAGACAAACAGCTACTACAAAAAACTAGCAATACGAACTGTATTGTGTTGAGACATTTATGATCTGTAGCCCTATTCACACGTGATAAATATTACCTGGTTGGCTCTGGTAATGTGCAATGATTGTGGAGGATGTCCGTGTTTTCAATTTTATGCAAATGAACCGTGTCCTTAATTTGTAAAAGTTAAATCTAGGGCAAATTACCTTCCATTTTTCAGCAAACAAGAAAAAATACTCTAAAAAAAGTAATCCCGTCCAAATCAGCCTCTCAGTCATTTGGGGCAGTAGTTTTTCAAAGTAAGGTTTCTGTGGCTTTTTCTGTGCTCTTGTGTCCAAATGAGCTCCAGTTTCCTCTGAAGCTCCAGAACGATCACTCAGTTTTGTTCTACTTTCTCTCCACAGCAAAGCAAAGACAAAAGTTTGCATGAAGCAAGAAGTCCCACTCCCATCTTCAGGAAAAAGACTCCTGCGCAAAGAGGAAAGGAGCGACAGTGATTGAGCCGCATTTTGATTAGATATTGAGAACATGTCTTAATCCAAATCAGCTCCTAGGTCAGAATACCATCAGGGCTCCTCGACGCTCTTTTTGCATTGGCATCATGACGTTTTTATGATTCCGTTTTGAATAATGTGTCTGCCAAGTCGTCATTTATATGCATTGTTTCTTGTCTTGATAGCGGATGAACTGAAGAGGTTAATTATTGGTCTTTCAATTACATTTCTCTTTTTGATATTCGTCAAAGAAGACAATGATTTGAATTGGTCCAATCAGACAAAACAAATCAGACAAAAATAGGAGTGTGTTGATATCAATGAGGAGGGTGTCGTATATCTCCACTGAAATCTTGAGACTGTACAGAGCATGTATCACATGATCGACATTTAGACCATCACTGGATTTGGTAAATGAGGAGCTGGCCGGTTCAGCTTCCAAATCAAATTGTCCGTTTCATAGTTGGCCACAGAGCACGCCATTTGTTGATTAACCAGCACTTCAGTTTGATGTTTGTTTTGACCAATCCATAAAACCACTTTTTTCACACTGCCAAAAAAAAACCTATATATATATATACTTAAGTGCGTATCTTTGTTTTATTTCTTATCTTCATAGATTATTTTTGGAACGTAGTTTTGTACGAGGATTATCTTTATTTTTCACTGTCATCATGTTTTCACGTCTCTTATTTTTACTAATTTGCATTTTTTTGTTACACAGCCTAATACTGAATAAAGCCCGTCATAAAATGCAGAACTGTGTTTGTGTTCGATGGCTCAATATGACTTCACTCTCCATTTTCCAGTTAATACTTTGCATCTCTAGACGGTGGATGCAAAACTGTTCATCCATCCTGGGTTGGAGCCTTGTGTTTAAAAGGCAAATGTGCCTTTTTACAACCTGTTGACCCTCCATCGAGGTGTCAGAGAGGCTTTTTGTTTTCCACTGGATGAACAGCTCATGCTCAGAGAACGCCTTGCTGAATGAATCTTCAGTCTGGGTGAATACTTAAACAAAATGAAGTGACTTCAGCTGTATTTAACATTCTTCTTTTGCATCTTGAAATACTGCGGCAGCTGCCTGTTGGTGAAAATTAAATCACGGAGCAGTAGGAATCTCAACATGGGAAAGTTACTTCTCAAGGATAAAGTCATTTATTTTATTGTTTTGGGTAAGTATTTTCTCATTGATATTCATCTGACTTATATGTAACTGATTAATATGCCAGGTAATATTTTATTAGTGAAGCCATAAAATGTCAAATGTGTGAACTCCTGCAACAAAAGTATTAAACGTTCACTAAAATATCAAAGAAAATCATAGTTATAGTCTGTTGGTTTGACGATACAAGCAATTTAAAAATGCTGCTTTAGACAGTTACTTTCTCTCATTTTGGTTGGTGGGTTTCAGCCTCCATCTGCACCCAGACAGCGCTCCCTCTTTGAGTACAAGTTAACTAAAACTCTTACGGTATAGAGAAAACAAAATAATAAAGAATGAGGTCGAGCCAGCCACTGGGGAAGAGCTTTGTGTAAAAAGTCCTTGTAGATACAAGGTGGTACCTTATTTAAATACACTCGATAACTTAATTATGATGCAACAAAAAGCAAAGTTTGTTCATAGATTGGTTAAAGTAGAGGGGGTTTAAAAGTATGCGCAAAGTGTCCCTCTATCAGATCGTTTGGCCTATAACTAAGAGGGATGGAGTCCGTTTATGACAGGACAGGAACAGCAGGACTTCAATAATGTAACAGGATTGACAGGAAAAATCTCACCCATCTTTTCCCCAGGAAGTTAGTGAAAGTCATGTTGTAATATAATGCAAGGGTACGTATTCTGGGGATATGACAATAAATCATAAGCATATAATTAAACTTAATGTTCTGTCAAGTTTTTGGCTTGTTTAATTTTATTTTCTTAGATATCTTTAGTCGACTAAACAGTTCACATAGTTCAATCTTAGATATCTTTCTGTAAATGTGGGTTGCAGCACTCAGTACGGTAAATATCATTTTTTTTTATAGAATAATTACTGAGCCAGGTTAGTCCCTGGTTAAATAAAGGATGTAGGAATGAAACGGATCTGGTAACTCTTGATGCCTGTTCTAGCATATGAACTTAAAGGGGACATATTATGCCAATCATTGCTCATTGCATTTAAAGACACACACACCAAAACGGAGCGTTCTGAGAGTTGGTTTATACAGGGTCACAAACCTCCTCTGCTGCTTGACTCATGTTATATTTTGACCAAAGCACAGCACAGATGTTTCATTTAGACCACAGGGGTTTGAAAAAGGGAACAATATGTCATCTGCTAATATTGCGTATAGATAAAATACCAGTGAGCACTATCTGTTCAACTTACTTATTTAGTTTATTTATACCCAAGTAATCATGAGGTGAGGCGTTTATGGTCAGCTGTGATAAATAAAGTCATATATTCAAACACCAGCCTGTGGACTGCTCTTAGGTAGGGGGCAGTTTAGACCGATTTCTGCTGTCTTTGTTTCTCCTCAGCTCTGATGTGGACGTACAGCTCTGCAGAGAGCGAGTACTTCTACCAATCGAGGACTCTCACCTGGGATGAAGCCAGGAGCCACTGCCAGGTACGACGTGATCCTAACTGACTGAATGTGTTCTATCACAAAAAACCCTGGACTGTTTGTTTTCATCAGAGAGGCCTGTGTGTTTAAAGCACGGTTGATAACATTTTCAGAATAAAAGAAGGGCGTTTCAGGACTTCAATGCCAACATTAGGGTTTATTATCAGCGGCTGTTCATTAATGGATGTCTGATGATAAAATCAAACATTTTAAGTTTTCATAAGAACAGAGAACACTCATCAGACCTAACTGTAGACTTAAGAACCATAGTCTCATGATTACCTTTGAGTTTGATGCCTGCTGTCAAAGAAAATATTTTGAATTGAGATTCTGGTGCAGCGCTGTACGGAGCTCTGCCCTCACTCTTAACTGCCTTTTCTCTTTCACATTGATCCCCCATTTTAAACATCACCATAGCGATACAGAAACGCGAGAGGCGGGTGGTGTAAGCAAACAGCTGGTGCTTTGCATACACACACACTAGGCCCTTTTCAAGCCTGCTGTTTTTAATGATGGAACAACAAGGACTCTATGAGGACGGATTTGCGATTCGATGACTTTGCCCTCATGCGTGCACACACACAGTCTTTGTTGGCGTTGATGTTTTCAAAGTGACGTCATATCACCTCTGTGAGGCCTCTGATAAAAAATAAAAAAAAAATGTCGTTGCCGGCCCAGTGGCAGGATGACTTCCCCCCCCCACCATTGTGCTCCATATTTTGACAACAGGACTAATAAGAGGTCTCCTTTTTCACAAGGTAAAGTAAAAGGCAAAAGATTGTCTGTAACTTCTTGTTTACTTCTTGTCAGCTCTGTTTCAAAGACCTGATGACCATGACTCCTGAAAACATCCAAACCTTTGCCGGGAAACTCTCATCTGACACCTGGATCGGCCTCCGAAAGACCTTCTACAACACCACCACCAATGCCACCGACAACTACACAGGCAACGCCACCAGTAACTTCACCAGCGATGACTTCAGTGACTACGCCATCAATGCCACCAGCAACGCCAGTTTACCCTGGTCCCGCTGGGCTAATGGGGACCCCCTGTCCTTCCAGAACTGGTACCCTGGTTGGCCCAAGTTCAAATCCCCCTTCCCAAAAATAGACTGCTGCAGCTGCTCCTGCACGTGCCCAGCGACAACAACAACCCCAAGATGGAGAGCACCAACCGCCGCCCCTTTCACTGACTTTACAGCCCAAGATGTGACGAGCTTCAGTGGACAAGACGACACAGAAAATACAACCGGTATAGGTCACTTCACTGACCAAAACATGACGGATGTTTCTGGGTTCATGGAATTCAACGCTGAAAATGCCACATCATTTACTTTATTTGAGTCCTCAGAAAACACAAGTTCCAGTGACACCATGAACGTCTCAACCCAAAGCCCCCCGTTGTTCAGCGCAACTCCTCCCCTAGCGACCTCAATGCTTCCGCTAGAAGCAGAGTGCGCGAAGTCACCCATGCTGACGCCGGATGTCCCAGAGACTGAGGAGAACTACATCGAGGACTCTTGTGTGGCCATGCTCAGCTTCGGGGCCTGGGTAGAAAAGCACTGCTTCGAGCTTCTGACTTTTATATGTTACGATGGTAAGACTCTTTGTTTTTGTTTCTGTGATTTTTCCTCCCTTAAAAACTTCTACACATGTAAACTGTAAGGTTAAACCAAAAAGGTAGCCTTAGTTCATTCACATTTATTCTCTATTTCAATGTTCCACAGTTTCAGATATGTCTCCTTTAACTAAAAAAACTCAATACATTTTGTTAAAGTACAGTTCATTGCTCAGAACAAATGTTTTATTTATGTTATTGGCATTTTTATATTCAAATAATACTTATAATCAAAGGTCACATATTATGCAAAATAAACTTTACCATGATTTGCTAACACTAATATGTGTCCCCCTAGTCTGTCTACAAATCCCCCAATTATGAGAAAAGGCCATCTTCTCCGTCTTCAGAGTGGATTTAGAATAAGAAACTTCACAGACATGTTTTAGGGACCTCTGAGATGTATTAAAACTTGAAAAAGAGTATAATATGTGACCTCCACAGCTGTATCCCACTCATTGAGATCAAATTTGATGTGCCTTGCTATGAATCTTAACCACTTTATTAGGGCTTCATAGAACAGCCTGATCAGGTTTAAAGGAAGTTACACTTTTTTTTAAGGCAACGTTAAATTCAACACAGGGTTATATTTTTAAATATTTTCAAAAGATAAAGAAACTTTTTCAGGTCTTTATCTCAATAGAGGATAATTCCTATTTATTTATGTTAATAATTACAGTTTGAGACCCAAATGACTGCTGTGTGAAGAATTCACAGCCTCTGAAAGCGATAACCAAGTGTTTGATGCTTCTGGTGTATCTAGCTGTTAGCTTTTAAAGAGACTACGGCCAAGGTTTCCTTTAGAGCTTGTTGGTCTTCGTTCACAGTCTGACTGGAAACTTGAGAGCTAAGAATTGGTGTTGAGAGAAACGATGTCAAAGGGTGGATTTGCAGGCAGATTATAGACATTTATCAAACCTAAATCTGTTTTAGGGTTTAGTTTAATCCAGGACAGTAGATTCACTGTCCACACCCAGTGTTCTTCTATACAAAGCTGAAAAGCTAGAAGAAGATACTCTTAACTGAGGTCGAAACATTTCGGGTATCAAGGTCCGGTTCTACGCCTACAGATGTAGAATTTTTATGTAGTGCCTTTAAACAGAGATCATAACAATGAGTTTTAGGAAGTCTTTTAAAGCGCTCAGATGACTTGGATATTTTCGCTCTGAATTGGACATTTTTTTCAAAAAGGATTAATTTGCATATACATTTGATTTCTGTTTCCAGTATATCCAGATCTACGACCTCATTTTAATCTGTGCAAACAGCAACTAGGAACCAAGGGGGTTCTTGCTTTGAATTAGTTCTTGGGAGCCTTTCACATTTTTTTCACTTCGTCTGCATTTGATTAAGTGACTGCTAAAGCTGTGCATCACCTTTGTGAATTAAGCCATCACTTTTTCTTATACAGTTTATTTAACAAAAATCATTCATACTCCAGATATCAAGAAACGAGACATGAGGTATTCTGTCTGATTTGCACTCTGGTCTTTTGAAAATGATATATCCCACCTGTACTCCCTTTGTTCTACCTCACTCTCAGCTTCTTTACCCATAGTCAGTCTTGTTTTGAATTTCAGATCGCTTTTTTGGCCAAGCCAACGTGACCAACGTAACCACCAGCAGCGCCACCCTCACGTGGCTGCGAGCGCCCGGTAACATCAACCATTACCGCGTGGAGGTCAAAGGTCAAGCAGCGCCAGTGAAGATACATAATAGTCTGACCTATGACCTTTTGAAGCTGACAGCAGGAACCTACTACTCAGTGCAGGTGTTTGCCGTTAAGTGTGTCCGAGACCTCAGCCCACAGGAGGTGGCGTTCTACACCAGTGAGTGTGGCTTCCTTTAAGGCCCATTTCAGACAATGTTGTGTTGTTTTTTTTAATCCCTGTTAGCAGGTTCAGATGGTGCTTTTAAAGCTGTGAACTTCATTGTAGGATACAAGGACTTCACACAGTTTTCACTAAGTTAAACTAGCTTATGTTCTGATAAAATATCAGTTAAACACTTCAGCAAATATTCTTCAATTAAAAAAATGAGCAGGTGGACGTGAAATCTTTATGTTTGATTTAATTTGTCTTAACAAATTAGTCACAATCTTCAAAAAAAGTTTTCCCAAAGCTAAAGCAAACCTGGCCTTACTTAAAAAGTTTAAAATCAGCAACATTATCTGCTGATAGGGAAACGGCATTCCTGCGGTAACTGATCACAGCTTTAATGGTAATTAGGGTTCATAGAGTTCAGAAGATGCTTCTGTTGACAGCAGCTGGAAACTATTAAAAGCTAGTACAAGGTGTAAAAGGCAAACATAGACAAATGAATATGTTTCTTTTCACCTCGATTCTTCTTTCACATCACCAGCCATGTTTTATAATTAAGAAACTACGCTGATATATTTAGAAACAAAAGTCTGTTAGTCATACAAACATTTTGTTTGTATCCCTGTTTAAATCTCGTCTTTTTCTTCCAGCACCAAACAAAGTCGACAACCTGAATGCTTTCAACGTGACGGAGACATCCATCTCCCTGAGCTGGGACAAACCAGATGGAAACGTGGATATCTATTTGATACATTATCAGAATAAGCAGAATGAAAGTAAAACAGAGGGCATAGTGGTCTATGGTTTGAAACCTGGACATCTTTACACATTCACTGTCTTCTCGGGGGCCAGCGACAGGTCCACGCAGAGCGAAGAATCCACGATCACAAAATACACCAGTGAGTACAACTTTACAAAAACAACATTTATAATGTTCTGATAGGACTGAAGCAGCTGCATGTAACACATTTGGTCACTTTGCTTTATAGACTTTTCACTATTTTATGTATATATATTTTCTTTTTTTCTTACTTTAATAGAAGAAATGGATAGAAAGTACACTAATGAAAGGCTTGTTTGGGTGTTATGAGGAAGAGGTTTATGTCCAGTCTAACTGTAATCACAGCCACATCTGTCTGTACACAGAGGCTCTGGTTTATTTCTACCTGTCCTTCATCTCTTTCAGAGCCCGGGAAGGTGTCCGATCTGGAGGTGTCTGAGAACACAAACACCTCACTGCTGCTAACCTGGAGTCCACCTGAGGGAAAGACCTCAGGTTACTCTGTGACTGTGAAACACAGTAATAGGTATTTATTAGAGATAGACAGTTCAATATTTATGACCTTATTTAAAGCTCCTGTGAGGATTTTAGTACTGGATATGAAACACACTGAAGTTAATAACAATGCCTCGATATGACCTGCAAAACCAAACAAGACCATCAGCAACGAGACTGATGATATTTCTACATAGTTATTTAAATACCTGAATCTGCTGCCACAGGGTCTATATGACCTGAAAAGCAAACAGGACCATCAGAATGAAGACTGTTCTTTTTTAAATATAGTTATTATTAATGTCTTTGATTAATGACGCAAGATAAGATAGGATGAACCGCTTTGTTTTCACATAAACAAACGTTTCTCACAGGAGCTTTAAATTAAGATATATTTAAAAGTGGTGTGTGTTTTTCAGCTGACTCTTTCTCAACGCTGCCTTCAGGTTGATATTTGATATTTCAATTACTTCAAAGAATCTGATGATTTCTTTAAAACTTAGCTCACAAGTATTACAACCATTGACAATCCCGTCAACCTCACGTATCAGAATGACTCATTTTTATCTATAACTCTGTTTATCCTTATTTCACTTTGTTGTTAATTTGTATCCAAACGTTCATGTCTATCACATAGACTGTAAATGATCTAACACCAGACAGTCAACCACCACAAGAAAAGAGTCTAATAGACATAGAAAGGCAACAAAATAAAAAGGTGCCCACTTACAGTACATAACTCAAACTGACATGAAACTCTGTTAGTATAGAAATTTTGTTCTCAGGAATAAATAATAACAAAAACGGCTGTCAGAGGATTTGGAGATAATAGTTTTCTAATGTTCTAACAAGTGGAAAATCGACAGTTGCCTCTGCGAGTATGATTTTGAATCGTGTGTGTGTCTTTTTAACAGTTCAGCAGTTACTGAAAAGGTGAAAAAGACTGAGTTCAGAGTGACGGGGCTGCCGATGGGCACCAAGATCACTTTGAGTGTGAGAGCTTTGATTAATGGCTCTCTGGAGGGAGATGAAGTGACCATCTCCAACTACACTGGTAACTCAGGGAGAAACATTTCTCAGTTTACTCCTAGTTGTTGGACTTTAAGAAATGAATGATTTCAGAAACTAAACAACCTCTCTCCTGCTGCATTGAGTGTCACTAACATGATGTTGTGGCTCCTTCATAGCTCCAGGACAGATTTCAAACCTGATGTTGACCCCCCTTGATTACTCCATCAATGCCACCTGGAGCCCTCCGGAGGGTAATTATTCATCTTTCAGCATCAAGCTCCAGCTCGATGACAGGTTTGTTGCAAACGAAATCAGCCAAAAACCATATTGGGAGTTTGAGAACCTGAAGAGCACCGCCACTTACGTAGTGATCGTCAGTGCTGTTAGTGGACATCTCAGCAGCGCGCCGGTGATGGGATCCGTATCCACCAGTGAGTCACTTTGTCACCAGTTGTATTTCCTCTTTTGGACGTTTTAATTTATAAAACAAGACAAAAGGTATTGGCTCCTGCAAACAGAAAGTCTGATTTCTATATTGTGCCAAAGAGCTGGTGTATGTTTTTTAAGCTGCAGCCAAACAATTTCATGCTGTTATAAAAATGTCAAAACAGTTTTTTATAGTTGTTTATAGTTGTTTGTTTGTTTTTAAGGACAGTGCTAACCTCTGCAACCAATATTGTGTGTTCCTTGTGACTGCTTCACAATAAAAGCCACTAGTTGAATACTTTTATTGTGAAACAGGAACTGATTGGTTGGCAAAGTGAAGAGTAAACATTGCATCAACAGTATGTCGTGAATTTAAAAGTCATTGTCATTTCAATGCATCTTGGTGGATCAAATCTTAAAGGACAATAAACAGTCAAGATCTGGTGTTACATTGAGTTGTATTGACATTTGAATCAGCATGTTTGATAACAGATTAGCTTAAATCAGAGGAAGCTAATGTTAGCATTTAGTTACCTTTTATAGACATTTGATAAAAATGAGCCCAATGCTAACATGGACTTTACAAGAGTATTATATGATATGATAGGAAAGGCATTCATCTATAAAACACACAAAACACTTTACATCATCAGACTACAGCTAATGTTGATAATCAGCCAATTTCTTGCTAACATTACAGTTAGCTTGGAAATAGCCTTTTTTTAATTGAACTACATGCATGACAATGTCATTGTAGCATTTTACTGAATATGACAAACAAACTTTTTTTTGCTCTCTCTTAATTTTAGCTCCGGCGCGCCCTCAAAATCTGACAGTGACTAAGTCCTACAAAAACAAAATCACGTTCCAATGGAAGGCTCCCGACAACACAGCATCGGTCAAGTACATTGTAAAAATCAGCTCCAGCTTTTGGAAACACAGTTTCTCCAATATGACCCAAGACCAAACCAGCTACACCTTTGATGGCTTGAAATCTGGGACGAGATACAAGATTGAAGTGCAAACAGTTGCCGGTCAGAAATCGAGTCCCCCAGTGACTGTGTCACATTTCACAGGTGAGAATTCCAGGCCCAGATGCAACATCAGTTGGTTAGCACAGAGGTTCCCAAACTTTTCAGCCCCCAACCCCCAAAATAACGGTGCTAACAACAGGGGACCCCCGTTGTCCCTGGAGGGAGGTTAAAACATTTAATGTTGCGCACAGACACACTATGAGGCCTTTCCAAATAGTTTCAGACCATCAATAGGCAAACATAAAAAAAAAGCTGATTATTGTTTAAAATGGTAGCAACTCTTAAATCTTGTGATTTTGGAGCTTTTTAAAACACTGACTGATAATGTGTTTGAATAGAAACACGCGCGCAGTAGTTGTCAACACAAGAACTTAAAGGTAGTCAGAAGATTTTTCCGAAAAAGAATAATAAAATACAAACTTATACAAAAGTGATGCCAGTCAATCGTTACTTGTTGGCCTTTATACATGTGTGGTGACTGTCTGCACAGTCTGCTCTCTGAGTGTATTTACATTTTTGGTCAACTCAGGACTTTTCTGGGTAGGGAGCTGGTTTGTTTCCCCAAGCCAACTTCAGCGCGCAGGTCAGTTTATGAGGCGATAAAATTCAGCAATAGGACGCCTTTCAAACCAGGGAATATTTAGGATGCAGACTTGGTGGCAAAGAAGAGAAAATATGATCATAGTGAGGCGAGGCAATAAGCGGATAATGTTTGTACCAAAACGAGTGTTAACCTTGGGTTGGCTTTCACCCGCTGACGTGGATTCTTCTGTTTTCACATCAGTGGTTGGCTTGGCTTGCTCAATTAACGGCTTTCCCATTACAACAAATGTGGTATTCTCAGGTAGCTGCAGTGTAGGTACAAGCAGTAAACGGACATGCTAACCCTACAGTGGGGGTTCAATTCTAGTGGCATTGAGCCCAGGTGGAGGGGCCCTGTTTGTGTTTACAAGAAGCAATGACCATTTCTACTGACTCTACCTTTGAAGCTTCTGTGAGGACATTTTAGCTGGTTATTTGACATACTAGAATGAATACTGGTGTCTCTTTAAGACCCACAAAAGCCAAGCATTTTATATTTTTAAACTCATGCCAATTTTTACAGCATGAAGAGAGTCTTTGTTCTATCTTCCTCTTGAAACCCTCTCTGTTTGTTTCTCAGTGGCAGAAACAAGGGAGATCAGTCTGTCCATGATGTGCTCGTCAGCAGAATCTCTGCTCTGTAACCAAACCAACGTGAGGGAAAGGGTTTTAGATCAGGTAAATCAGTCAGCACATGAGCCACACACACAGAAGTTCATTCATTCACAGCTTTTGTATTTTCACTCCTGTGTATTTTGTTTTTCAGTTGGAGGCCCATTTCAAGAAAGAGTTGGGGGACGATGTTTTCTGGGAATTGGTGAAGCCGGAAATTGAATGAATTCAATAATTGTGTAAAAGCATTTGAATGATTCTGTTGTTCAAGAAGTCAAATATTAAGTATCGTGTGAAAAACTTTGTTGCAGTTAATCTGAATTGTTAGACAAAATCAAGAAATAACTTTTTACTGAGTAAGCAAAACGAAAACAAGTGAATGAGTGTGTATTTCAATTAGTATTTTAGTTGTCAGGTTCAAATGTTGGCTTCCCTATGTTAGTGTGATACAGGGGCATGTCCAGACTTTTAAATGGGGGGGGGGCACTGAGTTCTGCAGGGGTGGCCTGAGGTGTGATGTGTGCACAGTCACACAAATAAATATCAATGATTTACCCTTTCTCTCTGCACTAATCAGATCTCCTTTATAACACAAGATAATTGAAACATTCGCTTAATTTTTTAATGACACAAATTATAAATAGCACCTCATTCAAAGTCTTTATTTACTTTTTAGTTCAAGTACAAATAAAGGAAAATATGCTACATTTATATTTAAAGAAACTACTAAAAGTCTTTGGAAAAAAACAACAACCTAGTTGTTGGCTTTATCATAAGTCCCGCCTCTGACAAGGTAAATAGCCAATCACAGTTTAGGATTTTTGGGGTGGCACCTGGGTTGGCCAATCAGATTTCTAGGGGGTCCATGCCACCCCTGCCCCCCCCCCCCGGACACACCCCTTGTGTGATGTTTTAATCGAATAAGATGAATATCTGAAGTAATTATCTCACATTATTTTGTATGTAAAATAATAAAAACATTAAAAATTTTCACCAACTCAAAAAAGTTTTTCAGCTGACTTCAAATCCCATGACTTCATTTTGATAATTATACAAATAGCATAGTGTTTTAGAGTGTTTTCATAGTTCTCTGAAAAAGACAATACCAACTATCAGCTAAAGAAAATTTAAGAAGTAAACAGTCTTAACCTTCGTTAGCATTGTCGTTCCTTATCCACATCAGTTTCAGTAAATGTACAAATCTGCATTTTTTTATCTACAAAAAATAAAACTTTTTATTGAATAGCATTACCTTATCTTTAGATTCACAGGTATAGATGAATATAAATATACTGTATAAAAAAATGATATTCTGTAAGTAATCAGATCCATCAGATCAGCAGAAAAACAGAAGTATTCAAATATATGTTGAAGTTTCAGTTCACTTTTGGTGCAAATATCGGTACATATAACACCTCAAAGGGCTGACTTGGGTTTGGTGTAATTAATAACCATCCTGCCAACTTCCTCTGTTACACTTGAGGCCCTATTTTAGGCTCCCAGGTTACAGAGCGCAGCTTTCAAAAGAAGCACAACGGTCACATTTTATGAACATTAGTAAGCAGGCTGGTGGGAACATCTGGGTAAAAGGACAAAGACGTTCTAACAGCTGAATGGATCAGACACACGAGGAGGACAATGCAGAGAGGGAAACACCTGCAGGTTAGTAAAAAAGATCCCAAACCTAACGTCAAAATGATTACATATAAAGCTTATCAGTGTTACATACATATACTGCTGACCTTGTCCTTACTTTGTGTACCGCCCAAAATCCTCAACTGATGTTGCCGTTTCCAGGGAACAATGACAGCCACAGTTATTGTCTGGTTGCAAAGTCCTTGTTAACTTTTTTCTCTGAAAGTGGCAGTTATCTTAACGAGGGTCAAAAGGTGGATGTCCTTTGAGACCCGGGTTAACACCTTCTCAGATCTCATCTGAGATCATTTCAGATGTCCATGTTTTAAAAAGATGATTGAATGAAGTCAATTGAAGTGAATATTTCCTCACAAAGGGTCCCAATGATTCAGTGAATGATTATATTTTCTGATTCAACAGAAGCAGGATGCTGTCAAAAATATAAGATGACTGCGTGTGTGGCTGTTGTTATAGCAACTACAGTCCTTGTCATGGGGCTGCTTTGGTGTTTGATATTCTTTGGTGAGTATTAATATTAGATCATACACTTGACATTTGTAAATGAAGTTAGAAAAATATTGAATCCAGGCTTATCCCAAAAATCATTTTCCTAAATTCATTTCTAATCCTTGTCACCCAGGAAAAACAAGAATGAAATCTTAACTACAGTAAAAGCAACAATACCACAGTTCACATAAACTCTGTCAGTACTCTACCAAAGTAGTAAGAGGACATCAACAAGTGTTTAAAGCTCCTGTTAAGAACTTTAAGTTTCTGTTGATTTTGGCACCCCCTTGTGGACAAAGAATTCATATAACTCTGCTGATTTTCCTTGTACCTCGTGGCAGCAGTTTCAGGCACTTTAATAACTATATAGAAATATAATCAGTGTCATTGCAGCTCATATAGAGGCATCAGTATTTATATCAGTCTGTTTCATGACCAGCTACAAACTCCTCACAGGAGCTATTTTAAGGGTTGTGCAAAATGATAATAAAAAAAACGTTATTTTGGGGTCTTCGTCTGCTCCCTGCTAGTTTCACTACAGAGATATTCACATTTCAGTTTGATCTGATTCATCCCAGCAGAGACTCACACCTTTGAAGGGTGCTTTAATCTTTAACAATGCATCATGTTGTATAACATGATCATATTTTTTGTACTTAAAAATTCAGTCTCTATCCTAACTACAGCAGGTAAGTGAATTTAGTGGGGAAAAAGGTGCAATATGTCCCTTTAAAATATTGGACTTAAAGTACTGCAGCATGTGTGATGGTGGAGGGCATTTTTAAAGTCACCACTGCTGTATTTGTCCACTTATTTTCTCCAAACCTTCTAAAAGAACCTGCAGTCTTAAAGTCAAATGCACATTAAGTTGTCAAGTTCCTAAATGCACTTCCTGTTTATCTGTCAGTCTGGTGTACGAAAGCCCCAGAAGAGAATCGTCAAACCCCCCAAACTTCAGTTAATCAGCTGACGGATCTCCTGCAGCAGTGCCAAAGAGAGCATCAGGATCTGACCCTGATGCTCCATGCTGCCACTCAAGGTGATTAATAACGTTTTGAAATGCAGACATTTGTAGACTTCACACAAATGTACATTGTGTGGTGTTCATTTGCTCTTGTGTGTAGACTCCAGGTGCAGTTTGTGTCCTGAAGGCTGGATGTGGTGGAGAAGTCACTGCTATTTCTTTTCAGTGGGACTGCAGGAACATCTCCGATGGAACGAGAGTGCTGAGTTCTGCAGGCGACACAACAGCAGCCTGATTGTCATCAAAGACTATGCAGAGATGGTAATTACTGAAGAAGTTTTACTTTAGTGTGTGGGGCTCCTATTTTCTCAACAGAGAAACAGCCCCTGATGAATATACAGTCAAGATCTGTGAATGTTGCTTCCTCCTCCTCAGGACTTTATCCAAGGTGTGATGAGGTCATTCCCTAAGTATCCCTTCCTGTGGGTTGGGCTGACGGACACCAAGCAGGAGGGTAGCTGGCTGTGGTGGGACGGCACAGACATCCAGCACTACATGCCGTAGGTTCAGATCGACTGGAGCACATTTACACAATAATATTGGAAACTGACTCAGAAGTCTGAAGTGTAACAATGGAAAAATGCAGTAAAAGCAGTTTAACTTGATAATCTTTAACACGTCAGACGGAAACAAATTAACAGTAAATATCTGAATCCATCTATGATCAATGTAGACGCCAATGATGAAATGTCTTGTGTTTGTTGTGTGTGTTGCAGGCTGACTGTGGAGTGGGACTCTGACCACAGGGACTGTGCAGACCTTAGGGGAGGTGGGACTCTCTTTGCAGCTAACTGTGAGTCGTATGGACCCTGGACTTGTAAAAAGGACTCCTGACAGGCAGCAAACAGCTCTACACACACACACACACACACACCCTCAAAGGATTTTGATTAATGCATTACACTTATGTAATATGTGAATTTTCTTGTCAGACTGTGTGGGGTAAAAAAGAGGACTTCATGTGTTTTTGAAATATTTATTATGTAAAAGCGCATTGTGCGGTTCATGCTATATTTAAATGCAGAATGAGTTCACACATAATCTTGTCAAGCCCAGTGTCATAATATAATCGAGACATAATTGTGACTGTGACATCTTTCAACATTTAAAGCTTCTTACTTAAACAAACTCAACCAAACTCTTCCTCTTCTTCAAAATAGCATATTCTGAAAATAAATATTTTTACATTCACCAAAAGGTTTTTGTCCAAGTGTGATCAACATTGCAGAAATGTGGATTCTTTTTTATTGCTTTGAACAGATACACCTATTAACAATATCAGCAGCACTTGGTTCAGTAGCCTTTAAGTGTCAAAGACTCTTTAACAAGTTGTGACTACTTTAGAAACTCTAAATTCAGTTGAAGGAGGGAAATTGTTCAAATCTGTAATATGACATAATCGAAAGATTACGAGTAACAATTAGGGAAATCCCCGATATTTTTGTGGCTTCTGAAAGCTAATTTTTCATTTCAGCCCATGAGAGTCCTCATCGTGTCCAAGAGTTAAGATTCATCTCTCTCAGTGTGTGGAGATTTTGTTAGGTGGAATAATCGTCATGAGTGTGCGACCATCCAACGGTGCAAACAGAGGATACAGCTTCCCTCTGAAGCTCCCAGTGAAGGTGTAGATGTGGGTCTTTGTTTCTGCGTTGTAGAAGGAGAGCTGGCCCTCTTCGTAGTCTAAGTAGATTCCAATCCGTCGAGCCACGAGGGCGTTGGGCAGCAGGGTCTCTGGCTTGGTACAGGCATAGAACTTCTGTGTGCTGCGCCACAGGGTCCAGAAGCCCTGCTTCGGGGTCATGGGGAAATGGCCTTCACGTTTGGAATCTGCAGTGGTCAAGCCAACGCGCCAGTAGCCGTTGTGGGCTATGTCAACCTCCCAGTAGTGGCGGCCGCTGTCGTAGCCCTCCCAGCCCAGAACACCGGGCCAGCTGTCAAAGCGTTGAGGGCTGTAAGGTAAATCCGCCTCTGAGAGGGCCTCCTGGACCCTACGCTGGTCTTCTGACAGCAGCAGCCAGGGGTTGTTGGTCTTTGGGTCGAGGATCACATCAGCTGTGTAGAAAAAAAAGAAGGGGGCACAAATGAGCTAATTGTAACTGAATATGGTGTTTATTTTATTTTTTTCCTTGTAGGTAAAATTAAGAGAAAGTGGCGCTTGATCTTACCTGCTGCGCTGCAAATCCAACTCCAAACTAAAAAAGAAAGACACAGATAGAGGTTACGTTTCAGTGGATAAATAACAGTTGTGTTTATGTACATGGATCGGTAATTCAAATCTATATATACCTGAGTTTGGGATGTATCTCGGAGTTCCTGCTTTCCAAGTCCTTTGCTTTGCCAGTAACCACAGCTGTGAAACTATCATCTGAAAAGAAACAAATAAACATGAAATAGAAATACATAGGAGCAGAATTTTAAGATAAAAGCACAGGCCTGCGTGGAATTTCCAAGAAGTGTTTTTAGGGTGTTGTTGTGACTTTTATGATGAAGAGATACCACTTCACGATTATAACATAACATCATCTGCGTACGTGATGATAATTCAAACGTAGAGTCTGTATTACCAGTTATCAAAGGTGTTTATTGTTACAGTTTATCAGACGAAGGTTGATTAGGGTCATATGAACTGAAAGTCAGAGTTCGTTTGTTGATGCCATCACTTAGTGGGCAGAGTTCACTCTAATCACACTTTACATAACAGCTTTCATAACACCTTGTGCCTGAATTGTGTGACATCCAACATGAGAACTGGCTCTGTTGAGGTTTTGAGTTTTGAATCTATTCTGTGTGGATCATTTGTGCCCTTTTAGTGCTATTCAAATGTGAGTCTTTAATTTTAAGTGACTTTAAATGTTTTCTTATTTAATTTTGCATTCTGAGGTACATCATTTTGACAAATTTTTAAAGAAAAAAATCCATCTCACCGGTTTTTTAGATACAATTATTTTAATGTTGCTCAGTAACTGTTCCTGTCGTTTTTTCTGGATTCACAAGATTGTAAAATAAAGTGGATCTATTAAAAATATTTATTTGTCAGCTGTTTCTCACCGCGCTGTCTTCTTTGAGCAGAGACCAGGTGATGAACTCCATCAGAGGCAGCAGGTTGACGAGTCGTTTCTTCTTCAAACCGAGCAGGCGCAACACTTTCCCCAGCTCTTCACTTTGCACACCACAACTCTGCAAACACAAATACTTATTGAAGTGCTTTAAAAAAAAAAAAATGGCACAATCTCCAATCATATTTTGATACAAGATTGTTTTTGGGGACTTTCAGTACTATGTTTTGGGACTCCTCACCTCGGTCGCCTCCTGCAGCTCCTTCGCCCACTCCATGATCCTCAGTTGAGCTTCCTCTTTCTGATCTTTATCTTTCTTTCCCTTTTCTTGACTCTCAGCCCAGGAGGTATTCTTCAGGAGCTTAGGACACAAAATCAGTAAGTTATTTATGAGCGAATATAAGCTTTCTTTTTCTACCAAAGCTGGTTCAAGAAATGTACGTTCGATGTGTTATTGCCAGCTGTAGTTTCCTCTTTTTAAGGGCCACAGTGTTCAATCACACATTAACCGGTGCATGCACTCACCTTGTCGACATGATGGAGTTCATCAGCCCACTCCATGATCAGTTTTCTGCTCTCCTCCAGACTGTGCTCGGTTCTCCGGTCTGTACTTTGGGCTTCTTTCTTACTGGTGCCCTCCTTGGTATCAACACTTCCCTGCAGAAACACAGACAAAGACGCTCTAAAAACCATAAACTCAAGTCATTTGACATCCACCTCGTGCTGATACGGTTCAAGGACAAGTCAGGAATATTTGGCTCTGATTTTTTTTTTTTCTTTTTAAACAGCTGATTTACGGTTCTTATCAGCCTTTAATGGGTCACAAAGAGGGAAAGTTCTCAGTTCACAGATGTCAGTCAGGCCTACACAGCAGAAGCTCATGCAACCAGGCTGTAAAAGAGCCTTTAAACACGTAACCAAGCATGAACCACCAATTAACCTGCTCATCACCTTTTCTATAAAAAGACATGTAACAGTTTGTCACAGCAATGTTTGTCCAATCTGTTGCATATACACGAGCATGGCCTTATTACCTACTTAATAAGGCCTGTTATCTTCTCAACTAAATGAAGCAGATAAAGACGCTCCACGCTGGAGGCAGGTGGCCTAGTGGTTAGTGCGGGCGCCCCTGTACAGAGGCTGAAGTCCTTGAAGTGGGTGGCCCATTCCCCTCTCTCTCTTTCTCACTCTCTCACTCTCTAATATTTCTCTACCCACTGTCCTGTCTCTAAATAAGAGCATAAAAAGCCCAAAAATTAATCTTAAAAAATAAATGCTGAGCCACTGACCCCTTATATATTTCCTTCTGCCTCGCATGTCTTACCTTGCACACTTGGTCCACTTGCTCCTTCCAGTGATGGATGAACTGCACACACTCCTGCAGGCTGCGGAGGTTCTTCAGACCCGTCTGACGAGGGTGCTCCTGCAGAAAAACAAAGGTCAAATAACAAGAGGTTATTATGACATTAAAAAGCCAAAATGGGGAACTCATGCATCCTACACGTCAAAGTACCAGAAAACACAGAGTAAAAATGAATGTTTTTGTACCTGTGAGTTTTGTGTGAGGCTACTGTTGTTTGTGGTGCCGCTGGGTGCCGAGTTGTGAGCCTGGGTGCTCTCCACAGGCGCAGACGTCCAGCGCACAGGCCCGATGGAGCTGCTCTGAGTGGTGTTGTGATCCTCCGTCAGGATGCTCACTCCTGCAGCGGGGACAAATTAATTGAAAACGACCTCATTTTAATGTGAACATTTACAAGTTAACTAATGTGAGCTGAATAACACAATAACTCCACAGTGGGCAAAGGTGGTGAGCTATGATATGTGAACAGAGAAGACAAGTGTCTTTCATCAGCAGTGATCGAATTACATTGTTTTTATACATACTCTTTCCAGTTTTCAGGATGCTTTTCATCTCCATGGTGATGTCCTCACTCCTAGGGAGCTAAGACAACAAGGAGAAAACGAAAATGTTTGGTCAAATTAAGTGTTTGAAGAAGAAAAGAAAATACAACAAACTACGTAAATAGTTGTAGGCTAGTCCAGATGCATTTACCCAAATTCAAAGCTTGATCTAAAGACAACTGGACTTGGTTGAAGACCTTGAAGAGTTTCACCTCTCCTCCTAAAGGCTTCTGTAGCATGCTTAAGATCCACAAAGGCTTACATTTCTAACTCCGTCCACCAGAAAGTTTAGAAGTGAAGAAGCCTTATAGAGGAGAGGGGAAACATCTTCAAGATCTTCAACCAAGCTCAGATGACTGAGAACTCCACAGACACTTACACACATGTTCTATATTTATCAAACTCATTCATAATTGAGATAAATAATACTAGTGAGTGGTTAAATCTCGATTTTATAAATGGACTGATGCATTAAGGTGTATTTCAGCTAACTTAAACAATTCAACAAGCTGAAAGTTTGATTTTACAGAAAAATAGAATATTTAAAAATGAACTGTCTCTCTTTTGAAATGAGACTCAAATACTTAATCTTACATTTAAAAATGCAACATTATAATGCAAGAGATACACAGTTCAGAAGTGACTCACTGCTGAGGTTGTATAGAAAACTATAAAATAGATTTTTTTATTATTAATGATTACTACAGACACTACATTGTATTAAACCCATGCTGATATTCCCAGAGTTCCTTGTGTCCTACCTGTTTGTCTGAGGGAGCGGTGGTGCTGCTCTGCTGGTGGAGACGACTGGAAGGTAACCGCTCTCCTGTCAACCTATTTGTTCCTTTCTACGTCTGTCTGATCTTTGGACTCTTTTATGACCTCTGAGGCTCCTTCTCTGCACCAAACCCTCTCAGCGTCCGGGCAGCTGCTGGCATGTTGCCATGAGGGTAAAAGGTACCTTTTTTTTTTTTTTTTTTTTTTTTTTTTTAATAGCAGAGATAAGCATGAGGATATCATCCAGAGTGACACACAGGATGGCTGTGGGGTGGTGTAGCTACACTCATTTACACACCTGCTATAGTTAATATGTTTTATAGGAGGGGAGCTGAGGTATCATCAGAGTGTGAGAGTCTTTAGATGATATAATTATTGATTACACATCACCTGTTGTGACTTAGATCTGATTCAACAAGCCAGATAAATAATTTGACCAAAAAAAAGAACAACTTTAACTCTTGAGCCTTCTTGGCAATATTTACTGAACATACCAATAATATCTTCTTTATAATCCATTTGTATTCTCCCTCTTTAATACTTCATTTCTCTCCTTTTCATTTCCCTTATATGTCAGAAGTTTAATAATCAGTGCTTCCAGAGAAAAGAGCTCCTGACCTCTTAAAGGTCAAATTCAATCAAACAGAAACCCTCTCCTTAAAATGCCCTCTGCTTTAAATGACAAACTCACACTGCACGATATATGATTCGGCTAAAATAATGTTGCAATTTTGACGACAGTTACTCTTCCACTTTAAGAGTTAAAGACATCAATGTCCTACCCTGTATACACCAGCACTCTGCTGTCACGAGAGCACTGGGCTCAGTTCATCTTGACTTACAGTAAATGTACGATGTAGTCCAACATGTATTTCATAACAGGGATAGGAAATCAGAAATGTTTTAGAGACTCACATAAAAAGAAGTCTATGGCTTCACATTTATTTAAAGAATCAAACTTTATTTGAACCAGTAATCTGCTGGATTAAATCGGCTGTTTGCGTTATGTGTCAACGCTCCAGTGAGGTACTTTATTTTGGTAGATTTTTGCAACCCTGTGGACAAAGTGGTAGATTTGTTTTATTCCTTTGATGGTTTATATCCTGTTTTTTTCTCTTCCTGCTTTCATTTAAGAGTCAAATGTTTTGTTCATCAAGACTGTGCTCAGGAAAAAGTTAATCTTGTTTACCTTTGAAGCTCAGTTTGAGAGGTCTTCATTCATTGCAGTCTCTTTCATAACCAGCCTGAAAGTTCAGTTTCACTTCATCATGGTTTCGATCGTCTCAAAACTTACAAATACACGAGTAACTGTAACAGGTTATGAGCTAAAAGGTTGAACAAATCAATCAAGAAAATATAAAAGTAATGTCCACATGTATCACAGAGCTGATACAAAAGGAAAAACTTCTGATTTAAAATGTAGAAGGAATTAATTTCAGTGTGAAATATTGTTTTCAAAGTAAAAGTGCAGATTTTCTAATTTAAAAAGTTTGTAATTATAAAATAAAAGTTGTAATGATGCAGAAAAAAATCCCTGTGAGGGTTAAATTTGCCCTTTACTTAGACTTTATTATTGAGTGTGAGCTGAGTAGTGCACGTTTTATTTGAGGATTAAGAATGTCTCTTTGTTTTCAGATGAAAAGCCTTTCTGAGATGTATGGAAGAGGATTGCAAATGCTTACATAAGAGCACCTTAAAGTAAATCCACGTTGATAAATTCCATCACTGATAACAGAGAACCATGAACCTTATGAACTTGCTTACTGTGCCAGGTTATATACCGGTTATAAGCCGAGGTGTGGCTGAAAGTCTCGTCACGTTTCATCTCTCACATGTCAACGTGTGCTGGAGGGAAAAAAAAAAATCAGAGGACTCCCTTTACAAGTCACAACTTCAGATTTATTTTCTAATGCAGACAAATGTGACACCAAAACAAATGTAAAAAAAAAAAATACCTTTACGATTTTTTTAAAGCTCTTTATATCTGTGTTTTTTCAACCATGACACTTTGTATATAAAAGTAACATTTCTGATTCTACCAAGTCCAAACAAGCTTGTGTCAGTACCTAACAAATATGTACATCGCCGCTCAATTCATATAAAAAAATGTTTGTCAGATTTTCATTTTCTCCTCCAGGGCAGATCAAATGTTGCCCTCAAACGTTTAGTTCCAACTCTTGAAGAACTGCTTGAAGATGATCGTCTCCTTCCCCTGAGGCAGAATCTCCACCTGCAGCACAGACACATTACATTTTACTGCTTAGCGCACACAGGCCGGGTTACAGTAAATGTGCTGGGAGGCCATAATGACCCTTCAAAATCATCACACGCTGCTGTAAAGTCAGCAGGACCCAGAGCAGCTGATTTACTCTCAGATAATGACATTTACTGTATGTGTGACACTTTCAGATTTTAGTAAGAGTCATGGTTAGTACCTGGGTCTTCATCCGGTTGTACTGCATTTGGTCGATGAAATTGTCCGCCATCTGAAGGGCCACCTGCTTCTCCTCGGCGTTCGCTCCGTTACCTGACAGACGATTAATGAATCACATTAGAATCAGAAGTTTAAGAAAAGAAGCATGCTGTACGCACGCCGCTTAATGTTGCCAACTTATCTTAAACACTTAGCCGTAATACCTATAAATATTCTACTTGGTACAGTTTTAACTAATAAAGAAATTAGCTGTAGGGGACCAGGACTGTTTATTGTACCAGGATATAAAAAAAAGGGCTTTTAACCACGAGACCTCTTGGGTATCCTTGACTATTGCAGCCAGCCTCAAGTGGACATTTGAGGAACTGCAGATTTTTTTTTCCACTTCTGCATCCTCTTCATTTTCAACACTGGACGTTGCCGCTCTGATGTGGTGCTGTTTCATGGTCACGTGGCGTTCCCTCACCTTTCCAGACGAAGATCTTCCCGTTGGCGCCGTTGTCCAGAATGAAGCAGTCGTCCCGAACCAGCAGCTCTTTGTCGAACGGGCTCTTCTCCGACACTTTGGTCGTCGTCATGGAACCTGTCGCATTGGACACCTGTGGAGATGCAAACAGGTACATTAGGCTTTATTGTTAATGGTATTTTTTTTTAAATAATTTAATGGAGGAGTTTTAAAGGCTTTGCAGATGAAGTCACCTTGAAGAGGGAGGCAGAGTTTGATGCGTCTGCTTTGGTGTCTTCCTCTGTGCTCTCTGACAGCTCAGGCATCTTTCCTAAGACCTGCTCACACCACACAACAAGAAGCTCAGGAAACAAACTTCATCAATATCACCTAACGTGTTTTACATTAATGGTAGCAAACATGGCAACAATAGTTAAAGAAAATGTTGGGTAAAAAGACAGGGTGATGAAGTGCTGCCCATGTTGAGGCTATAGTCCTCATGACGGTGGCTTAGCTTAACTTAACTCCACCTTCGAACTCCTCTGAAGTGGTCATTGACATGTTTCGTCTTCTGGCTGTTTAAAACTCAAAATAATAATCATTCGAACATGTTGGTTGTTTAATATCTTTTTGTTAACCTTGAGCATCTCCTCTGGCTCCTCCCCCTCGTTGGTGTCAACGATTCGGGCTTTCCCGTGTCTGTCTGCGTCACGGATCAGAGAGGCGATCTCGCGCACTTTCTGCTTCTCGAAGATGTTGGCCTGCGACCCGATCCACGACACGATGGTCTACAGGGCGAGGAGTAAGCGTCGTCAAATCACAGCAAGGGTAGAACTGCTGATCCGTGCAAGAATCAGTTTGATTTGGATTCATAGCTCACCTCCCCGAGGTCGAGGATGAAGCAGTCTCCTTTGTTGAAGCTGCTCCAGCTCAGCTCCACTTCTTTGGCACGGATGTTTCGTTTGCCTTTGACCTGGTACAACCTCTGAACCGTCCCGCAGCCCTGAGGCCTCCTGAAGCCCGACTCCACGCCACCCTCCTGTTGATTCAAAACATTTATTTTGCATTTTTGAATTTATTACGTTTGTTGTCTGCTGCAGAAGATCACAGAGGGTTCAAGTTTAACTTCCTGGGCTGTTTCACAAGCTCCAATTGGAGGCCGTGCAAACAGAGAGATATGACCATGCTTTGTCACTGACGCCATAACATCCAGAGCTGTAAAAACTGAGAGGGGATTTATCAGGAAATAGAAAAAAAGCTAGACAACATGAGAACATCGCAATAGCACTCAGTACCTCATCTTTCACTCGTAACTTTAGAAATCATTTCAGTTAACAGTTGATGCTGCCAGTGAATTAAAGAAACAGTTGAATCTTTGATATGTATTATTGGTGATCGATGAAAAGCTTCAGTGTCTTATTAGTGTCTTAAATATCTATTTTTTTGTTATAGCTGGTTCAGCTTCTGAAATTTCAAAATAAGACACTTTCTGGAGAAAAATTCAGAAACTAAAATATGAGAAGAGAGTTCATGTGAAGGTCCACTCATGCCAAATCTAAAAATATATATTTTATACCGGTGCTCTTTTTTTTTTTCCTTTTATACAATTTTGTGTATTTCAAATGTGTGCTGTTCATTCTCTTTCTTGTCGTCGTGCACTTTGTCTTTCAAAATAAGAACTTTACTCTTATTCTGTAATAGCACCAATACATCAAGGAATAATAAACAAAAGTATTCACAAACTCTGGAGCTGTAAATAAAGTAGGACTTAAAACATTATCTGAGCAGCAGACGATAAAAATGTTTTTGCTTTACTCAAGAGATTTCAGTCATTTTATTTCCTCTCCTGTTTAAAGCATCTTTACATCCAGGATCTCGTGTGTGTGTCCTCCCCCCCCCCTCACCTTGTAGCTGACCCCTCTGGGAAACAGAGACATGAACTCCATGGACTCGTTGCCCTGAACCTCTCTGTGCTGAATCGGTTCACCGCCCAGGAAGTTGTCGAGCTGCGTGGCGAGCACGCAGCACGTCACCTGCTCATCCCGAGACGACTTCTCGCCTACAACACAGAGAGGACGAGGTATGTGTCAATGAGAGAAACTTTGAGGATATTTAAAACAATGAATGATGAAACTCATTGTATTTCCTTCTCTGTTGAATATCTGTTTGATGATTTCATTTCATTCCGTGTTTGATTTGATCGACTTTATTTTTTTCACTTTACCTGAATTATTTTTTTTTAAGACAATTCAGAAATGTGCATTTTGTATATGTTGATTGATTAAATCTTTCAGAGAGTTTTAAAAGCTCTTCTGCAGTCTTGACTGTTTTGTCAAACAACTTTTTCATTACATTTTAAGTTGAATAACTAATGTTCATTCATAACAAATGTTATCTCAAGACAATTAACAAAAAGAGCAGCACCCTTTGTTACATTATTCACAGAGACCCAGCAATGATCTTGGGATGCAGTGGTATCAGACGATATTGGCCAAAATCAAAAATGTTTTTCAGTGTTCTTATCACAGAGGTTTGTTTACTGAACGAAGCAAAAAAAAACTTTATTGATTCTATTCAGTTTGGAAGAGTTTCAATATAAAAGCATCACGACTTTCTGCACGTGCATGTGGTGCACTTTTCATATTTTGTATTGCCCCTGCCCTGAAAGAATCCTGGTGTCTGCCCCTGGATGATATACTGTAAGGCTTTATGAACTTCCAAATTCAACCAAAAAGTCAAAAAAAAAAAAGGTAGAAGGTGGACCTTAAAGTCAAAATAACTTCTGACGAACAAAACTTAAAAATAAAGCCTCAGCAGCCTTCACTCACTGGAATATGTTAAAGAAGCTCGAGACGTAAAATAAAAATAAATGAAAGGCAGCAGTTAGATGTCTGAAAGGGTAAAATAACACAGTTTTAAATAACAAAACAGGCCCTGAAGAGAAGGCATGGGTCGTCACATCAAACAGGAGAAACAGGGGTCACCTATCTGAAACAGGTGGAGGAGGAAGTGAGGCCTGAGGGTGATGCATGCCTGAGCACAGAGAGCCCTCTGCGACCTGTGACAATCAGCTTAGTGTTACCTAAGAGCCGGATACATGCTGGAAACAACAGCCACATTTGAGTACTGTAACAGTCCTCCTGCATTTTTAAAGGCCATCCCAGTTTCCCTCGGGACCTCTATCTCTCCTCGATCATCCCTCCTTCCCTCTCTCTCTCTCTCTCTCTCTCTCTCTCTAAACAAAGATGCTGCCGGTCAGTGCTGTGTCTCATGTGTCATCATCATCATTAGTGGCAGGGTTACTAGCTTTCAAAGTGCAGCACAGCACCAGGAGAAGATGTTTACGGACAATGATTAGAACTGTCACCCGTACATTGATTTGACACTTTCATGAGAGTCCATCATAGTAAACAAACTTTAGTCTGCACAACCCGACCGTGTCATCGCTTTGTTTGAAGCTGAATATGCTGCCAAACATTTTGAGCTGTGTTGCTCAAACTGAGATTCTGTTTTTCAAAATAAACACCAAAAAAAAAAAAAAAACCATGGTTAGTTTATAGATGCGCCTCCTGTGTTTTGCCGGTCTCTCACCTAACCAGATGTGGATTTGGACTTCTCCTGGACCGTGGTTACTCAGCACCAGGTAGGAGTCTCCATTGTAAAAAGCTCCTAACTCGGAGGCATCCAGCGGCACCGCTTTCATCTTCTCCACCCTCCACACTCGAAGGCCCAGCTCCCGGACCTCGGGACCAAACTGACCCGGAGCTGCCTTGAAGGGGAGCATACTGCGGGGAGAAGAGAGGGAGAAGTGAGACAAGGAGGGAGGAAGAAGATTTCACGGCGCGATAGAAGGGGGAGACGATTGGGGAAAGCGGAACGTAAAATACGTGGAGATGTGTCACTGTCTCCATTGTGGGACGAGATGGTCACATTTGGTTTGAAGAAGGAGAAGTAAAAGCAGAAGTCTACCCAAAAGTGGCTGACAATTGACGCACACAATCTTCCTCAGAAGAAGAGGGTGCACTTCTTTTTCCACACTCTTCTTTAAAGTTGCTGACAAACAGGTGGATTTTAGAGATGTGTGTCTGTAATGACAGAAACTGAAGGGGTGGTTGGTGTGATGGGCGCTATAACACTCATCCTTAACACAAAATGAAGGGTTTTGTTGCTGCTCAACAACCACAGGCTACATTACATCACTTTATGCAACACAACACCGAGCAGGCCGCTACACTAGTGTCGCTGCACAGAACCAGGCGGGGCCAGGGAGCGAGCTGGATCATGTCACAGGTGAGGACGAGCCAGGATGACTCACTCTGACATGCATCTCTTCCTCTCTTCTTTTAACAGAGTTTCTACATCCTGCCACACAGGAAGAAGAAGAGAGAAAAAAAAAGGCGGTTTTGCAGCTTGAAATAAACAAGTAACACAACCACACCTTCCTGTTGTCTCAGCTTATCGTGACTGCGGGGCTGAGAGAAAGTGAGGTTAGAACATCAACAAGCCAGAGAAACTTGCTTCTTCCCTTTTCTCTCACGATCGCCTCACACTGTGATTGGTGCCAACATTGAGATACATTCACCATTAAATGTCTGACTCCTTTAATCAAAAATGTAATGCAATGACTTTCAGCTTGGATTAAAGATAAAAGCATCTTCAAAGCTTCATAAATACACTTCTAGAAATACTTAGAGAAATGGAAAGATGTCAAAGAAGAGACCATCCTGATTCATTTTGCTGCGTAAGAACAGCTGCTACTGTGATCAAAATAAAATGCAGACGTCTGCTCTGATATATTTGAATGAAACAGTTCAACAGGAAGGTTTAGTGAGTGCTAAATGGACTTGAGCTTGTTAGGTGTTTTTCTAGTCTTCTGACACTCAAAGTACTTTTACACCGTCGGCCACACTTACACACTCACACTGATAGCATGCCATGTTAGGTGTCCATCTCCCGTTCACAAAGTTCCCACCGACCAAGCAGGGTGACTTGGGGTTAAGGGTCATTCCCAAGGACACATCAGACATGTGGCTGCAGGAGCTGGGGATTGAACCCCTGACTTTCTGGTTGAGAGAAGACCTACTCTACCAACTGAGCCACAGCCTATGATTTCTGTCAACAACCAGACATTCAAAAGCTACCTGAAGGCAGCATTTATTGCACACTTGTTGCATTAGATAATAGTCTATGTGTCCCATATAATACAGCAACTAGGTGTTTGTTTAGATAGTAATGAGTAGAGATAATGAAAATGTGAACAACCGTTTTTTCTGAAGCCCACATGTGGTCCATACAGTATGTCGCCTCTGTCCTTCGAACAACTTAGAGAACCAACCTTATACATCAAATATGAAGGAAGGGGAACAGACTGGTTCAGTTTTTGCCTTGGATAAATCAGAGAAATCAACCCAGTTTTATCATATCTTAAAGTTAAATTCTGAAGTCAGTATCCACTAAAAAACGTTCTCCTGAAATGTAACTTTCAGTCATAGCTCATGGTTTCCTCTACAGATGAAGATAGCATCTCTTTTTTTTTTAAATGTAATAAGCCACTTAAGCTCCTGGAGTATGCTACATCACTGTGGTTGTATAATTAACTCAGCTAAATTTCACTAAGGCAGATGAAAGCTCCAGAAAAACAAATCAAGTTGAAACTAAAGTTTTAGGTTACAAAAGAAAGTTACAATAATCAAAAATGAACCTAATACGGAAGCCCCAAGTTTTCTCTTGATAAAAAAAAGCTTGCTTTCTTATTATTATAGATTCATGTATCTTATTGTCTCCAGACAACAATCCTTTTTTTCTTGTAAAAACAGGATCATTTTCTTAAGCTCTAGAGAACAAAAGAAGCTGCTCACTGTGATAGACCGGAGCAGTATTTGTTAATTTTGCTCGAAGTTCCTTTTCAGTCAAAGTTGAACCATGTGTGATATTTTTGGAGTTTTTTAGCTTCGAGAGAAAAATCAAACAGCTTTCCCTGGACGGCATCGCACAGCATTTGAACCTTATCTAAATGTTGTTTCTACCGAGCAGCAGCAGATTTATGATTTGTTGTGACATCTTCTTATTAATCCCGGGCAGCATGACACTTCCATAGAAATATAATATTGTTACCATAAATATGAAAATGATTCAGGCGATGCATTTGCTACACTTTCTTTAAAGACTCTTACACAAGTAAGCAGTTTCACTTCCCGTGACTGAGATATGAAAAAAGAAAACTCTGATGCCACATATAAGATATTACTGCAAACTCTCCTATATCTCTCAAACTCTCCTATATCTCTCAAACTCTCCTACATCCTGTGTTGAAAATCTCTCATTAGTCAGCAGAAAAGCTAAAACTTTTAACACATATTGTCAGTGTTGTAGTCAGTTAAACGAGATGTCAGCAGCAGCTCCGCCCCCTTTTTGTTTTTTGTGGGGTTTTTTTTAGTTTGAAAGACAGAGTGATGACTCAATCACTCAACTTTTCTGATGTTTAACTCTACAACGTTCTGGCTAGCTCTAATCAATGACTAGATTTTTCTGCAGACAGATTAAGATGTAGTAAATGCAGGTCTTGGTATTTGAAAGTATTCAAATGGTAGATTAGAGGAGTAGAGGAGGTGAGGGAGCGAGGAAAGAAGGAGGAAGAGCCCGAGGAGGCTCATGCAAAGGCCCTAGGGGTTAAAGTTACAATGCTTGGACAGCCGCTTTAGGAGTGAGTAAAGACGCAGAGAAAAAGACCCGTTCCACTTAACTGTATGATCTCGACTGGTACCTCCAGCATGCTGTCTGACTCCGGCTCCATTCTGTGTGTCCACTGAAGTGTGTGTGTGTGTGTGTGTGTGTGTGTGTGTGTGTATGTGTGTGTGAGGTTGTAAGGAATCGAGAGGTCTGGCGTGGAGGAGTGTTTGCGCTCACCTGGCCTGGTTAGCTTATATGTGGGAGGTAACTAGAGCCGGTGTGATGAAAGCCTACCTGCGGCCTGTTGGGGGGAGGTAAGAGTCGGGTTCCTGGTTCCTGGCTAAAGCTAAAAACCAAGAGGATAATTACTGGGAGAGCAAGCTGCTGGCTCCTCCATCTTTTCCTCTCTTCTACTCCTCCCCCGACTCCAGCTCTTCCTCCACTCTTACCCTGATCCTGCATAACCTCCCTCTGCACAGACAGTCAAACGTCTAGGAATCATAATCCCTCAAAACATGATCAGGAGGAGACCCTGAACACCTACCTCTATCAACCCATGCTGCCTTTAAAGGTCACATATTGTGAAAAATACATTTAACCATGTTTTATTTAACACTATTGTTTCACTAGTCTGTCTACAAACCCCCCAATGATGAGAAAAGGAAATCCTCTCCGTCTTTTTTCCCTTCATGACATCAAAAATGGAAGAGACCCCTCCCCCACGTGTCTTCAGAGTCTGCTTTCTCACTCTCACATTTTAAACCTCAAACATTTCATACAAGACAAAAGCTTGGCATTTAGTATAATCTATTGCTTTGCTCTTCATAGTCAGTATAAATTATTAGCGTACAAGTCAATGGATGAAAATGTAAATTTAAGAAATTGTCGTTTGCTGTGCATTGATTCTTCAATCTGGAGTTGCTCTTTTTCTTTTATCATTGTTCTGTGTAGTTAATCTGAAAAGATGGCAATCATTCTCATGAATATCTGTCATCCTACTGAGTTGTAGAGAGGAGTAAAGTCAGTAAAGAGACTTTTTTGAGACTTTTTGAGACTTTCGAGGATGAAACTCGCGATTTTGGCCAAGAGATGTAGAGCTGGAAGGGAAGGCAGAAAAAAAAAAAAGAGAGAGAATAGAAGGATGGAGGTGTTCAGGTGGAGACAAAAGGTCACAGCTAGGCTACACAGGTCACTGACTACATCAACCATTCATGCACTCTGAAGCAGACAGAAATATGAGAGCAGACAATATGTAGGTGTTGAGGAGGATCTGAAAACAATGTGTGATCCGAGGGTGAGTGTATACAGTGCGCAAATGTGTCTGTGTGGTGGCTCTGTATATTTAAGAGATCAGAAGTCTGAAATCAAGACAGTGATGAAGACAAGAAATAGAGACGAGCGCACAAACAAACAAGACTAAAATAAAGAACTTCATTATAAGATGATGATTGACTGACACTTTCAAGCTGGCACAAAAATAGTTTCGAATAGCAAGTTTCTGAACTATAGTCACAAGATCTGAGGCTGATACCGCTTTAAAACCCCACCCTAACCTTGAGGAAGTTGTGAAAGAGCAGGAAATAAGATCGGGATGATGTGTAGGAAGTCAGACAGAGACAGACTGATTGGGCAAAAAAAAGAAAAGAATAATTTCAGGGTTTGAATTAATACATGGATGTAGTCAAGTCGCACAAATTTAAACTAAAGACCCTTTGTCTGATTCAGGATGATTTCAGGAGCAGGAATGTGCTGAGTGAGCAGGGAAATAAAAACAGAAAATGTTTCTTGTGAAAGACAAAGAAATGGAAAAAGTAAGAGAGATACAGAACACATTTAGAGTCGGATTGTGAAGCAAAAAGAAAGTGCAAAAGTTTTTCCAAACTTACCTTGGATAGAGAGTAAGTGGTGGTAGACAACACGTGTGAGCAGAGAGAGTGAAGAGAGAAGCAGTGGTGCGAGGTGAAACACGTCTCTAGACAGACAAATATGTCCCCCCCTTACACACACACACACACACACACACACACACAGAGATTTCCTGCCTCTGTCTGGGGTAAACTTAGCCCGGCCCTCTGACTCAAACACAAAGGAAGCAAAAAGAAACTTGACAGAATCAGGACAGAGAGTGGAGAAAGAATTCAAATCAAATCTGGTCACACTTTGTTTTCCAAATGGTGTATATATTGTTGAAGTGATGCAATAGCTCATTTTTTTAACCAGCACTTTGAAACTATTTGATTAGTCTCTGTATGGATGATGCAAAAATGACAACAAACTAAATTCATCGTTCAGCTTTGACTGTCACAAAATGTTTAAATTATTCCACCTACAATGTCAAATCACCTTTGAACGTGTCTGCAAGAATGATTCACATCAAGGTCTCCACAGCTGGTAAATATTGCCATAGCAACAGATCCAAACACACTTCCAGTCATATATGGATTCCCCCACTGATACACGGCATGCAGACACACATCATTATACAAGTCATGCACAGGAGTCAGACAAAACTGATGAGTCATCAGGTGTGAACAGGTACAAGGTTTGCTTTTAAATCAAGTCATTTCACTGAATGTTGGCCTTCAAATACGAATCTTTGTTTTCAATGTTTTCTGTTGTTTTTTTGTGTGAAGAAGAAATATATTCATAATTAAAAAGGTACTTATTTTAAATCTGGCCCAATTGAACAATTTACTGATTCAGCTGATATCATCTAGATCATATTGGCTTATCTAAATAAAAAAAAAGCCTCACCTATGTATTATGAATGCTCTCTTCTGTATGAGGGTATACTCGTCAAAGGGAGCTCTTAATCATTGTGGTCTGAAGCAGACTCCCATGGGTGAGCCCTCACTCCACCTGCTGGCCAGAGAGTGAGAAGAAGGCACAGATGAGAAGAGAAGCCTACAATTATTATGATCTGCATTTCTCTGATGTGCTGTTTAGGGAGTAAAACAGAGAGCACACATAGATATATCGGTCCAGCTGACTATAGTGCATAACCTACTTTTTCATTCTTCACCTAAATGACCTAAAACAATTAATCCTCCATTTTTGTGTCCATCTTACTTAAAAAAAACCTAGTTTTGCCACTCTACGTGATAATATTTACTTAAGCCATTACATCTTTAGGTTCTGAGATATAGTTGTCTATCTTTAGCTATCTATATATTATTATAATTGTAAGGTTTGTGGTGTTGGGGTATAGGGGAATGGGAATGTAATTATAGCAAAAAAACAAAAACATTCTACCTGTAAATCAAGGTTCTTTAAAAATGGCATTGTGTCGTGTATCCAAATATGAATACAGAAAACCTATCCTCTTCTGGTCAAAACATTGTCTATTTAAAGTTTATTATTCAAGACGTTCGTAGCCGTTTCGCTTTGTTTAGTAGCCTTTAATTATATTTTCACTTCCTTTCAGGTGTGTAGTCTACTATTGTTTCAGTGAGCAGGTGAGCTCAATGTTAGATGAGAGCGTCCCCAAGAGGCAGGAGTGTTTTATCTTGTTTATCTTGGTTTATCAGGTGTTCCGAATCATCAAGGCTTCTTGTGTTGCCTCAGTTTTTCTCATCAGAATTTTTTTATATACATAAACATACAGTATATATTCAAGTGGATTTGTTTTCCAAGGTTTGGAATACATTTGAATAATTGGTTAAAATGGAGTTAAAAAATGGTCTTCATTAAAAGTACTATAACTTATTAATGTAATACATTTTCCACAACTGTTCAAAACAGGTATTTTCATTTACTACATAATGCAGTATATTAGAGCATCTGTTATTTCACAGAGCCTGCAGTGACCTTTTCATCATGCTTCAGTCATGTAGAAAAAAAGTGTCAAGACATGTAGTAAAACTTTTATTCATTTTTTTCCCAAGTCAAAAAAACAAACAGAACAAAGATACAGAGAATGAGATAATGGATTGATTTCTATACAGTGGCAATTTCAAGTTGAACCTTCCTTTGCCCAGACATGTGAAGTCTTTCCTCAGTTTGGAACCCTGTCTCGCCCTCAGACGCACATTTTCCTGCACACTCGCACACATTCACACCACCCGGGAGTCCTGGTGTTTTCTGAGTTGACTGGACAGCACTAAATTAAGACAACAGGATTTGATGCAAGCAGAGTGGACAAAATATCACAATGTCTTGGGCCTAGGTCCACCACAATATTTACTAAGTGCAATTATCAAAACCTGCTTTATCTCAAAGGCCAGAAGATGCAGTCCTTTCAACTCAAGATCGTGTTGGAGTCAATGTTCAAAAAAAGTTTAGAATTCATTTGAACACATTTTTTTTGGTTTTCTCTCTTCAGGACTCCCAGCCTGATCAAATACACCCCGCCCCCCTCCCCATGATTCCCCAACATCAAAGATACATACACTGGTAGAAAAAGAAAACAAACACTGATTTGAAATGAGGATCACTCATGGATGAAGAGGGAGGGGACCCAGCTTCAAATTCAGACACAATGTTGAGATCAGGAACGCGAAGGGAAAGAAAACTTTTTTGTTTTGTTGCCGTCAGCTGTACCGATGGATTTCTTACAGAGTCAAACTAGGTTGAGTCATGTTTGAAGAACAAAAAAAGCACCCATATTTGAAAAAAGGTCACACTAATGTAGTGGGTAAGGTTTTTTTTTTTAAGTAGAGAGGCCCTAAAGTTCTGTTTCTTTGGACAATCTCTACTTCAAAGAAAATGTTCCAAGCTGCAGTGAAGGAAAAGGCGGACTGGGGAAAAAGATGTATTGTGTCATAACAAACTTACTGGATTGAACTAAGGACTGTATGTTTGGTCCTTCTAACTTCAACTAATGCAATGTCACATTGTGGTGACAGCGTGCAACAATGTGTTTACTGCAACTGTAAGAGAGCAGTCACCAGCTTTGAAATAACTCGGAGGGGGGGGGGGGGGGGGATCCTCTGCCCCTTCATCCACAGTTTATGAACATGAGCCTCCTGCAAACAGCTTCACAAAGTCACCAGAAGCAAACTAGAGAAAAGCAACAAAAAATAAAAAATAACAACATTCTTAATTTTCCTCTATTCATATTCGCACAGAATAGCAGTTAACGTTCTTTCTTAAATAAATGGTGTAGTCCAAATTAACTTGTGTACACGTCAGCTATCAGAAATGGAACAAAGATCGGCAACAAATGGGAGGGATTTGAAAAAATGTCAACCTAAAGCTTGATTAAATGTGTTAAGATGTGCCACTCATGCAAACTATGACAAAAGCAGCAACGTCAAACTAGTATCCCTCGACAATATCTGCTCCATTTCCTCCTAGAATCAAAATTAAAGACAATAATCCTTCTGATTATTACTTCTTTTTCATATAAATCTTTTAATTCCCAGAGTAATGGAAATAATTTCATCTGGAAAAGTGTTTTTTCTTTTTTTTGTTCCTTTAGATGCACAAGTATCCAAAAATGGTCAGAGGACAAGAGGATGCTGGTGGGTGTTTTCATGACATCTTTCAGGTTTGTTTGTCTTTGGGGTGTGAAGGAAGAAGAGGGCGATGGGTACATAAACCTATGAATTCAATCATGTTGTAGAGGGACATCTCCTTCAAGCAAGCCAGTGCCTCTCTCCTATCATGTAGGTTTATCTGCCGTTAATCCAACACTCCTCTTTCTCCATCTTTGATCCACTAAATGCCCTCAAACTGGCGGCAACTGTAGTTTGAACATAAGCAGCAGAAGGTCTAACAAGATACACCTTGGTGAAATATGCAGTAAACAAAGTCTAAACCTTAACTCCTTGATTTTCTTTAGACGTTAGTGATGAATACAATCCACTTCTCCAAAGGCTTTTGGCAATATGTACGCTTTCCACGACTATACACCCAACGTTTAAAGAATGAGAGAGAGACTGGATGCAGTACACTATAAAGTTAAAAAGGGACATTTTCTTCCCCTGTCATGTGTTCACCACATCTTCCTCTCGTTTTAATTCCCCTGGTGGGATACGCAGTTTTTGCTCCGACACCCCATGTGAAAATTAAAAAAAACTATTTCAAAAAGGCAGCCTTTTTTTTTTTTTTTTCTTTTCCTCCTTCAGGCAAAGCAGTTCAAGTTCTTTCACATCATCGCTTCAACAAGGTCTTGTTGTAAAGGGGATGGAGGGCTCGGGTTGGTGACGGATTGGAGCAAAACAGAGGTCCCAAAAAAGAAAGAAAAGAATCACAAATGGGACCTCTGTGGCTAGAAGCACAGCCACCTCCAGCTGGCTAAAAGGTGCTGTCCTTCAGGTGAGGTGACAAGGTTTCTTCAGCCGCCTCCCCTTCTCCTCCGCTGCTCTTTAGTTCTCCTCATCGCTGTCGTCGGGGCTGATGGCAGGGCTGTAGGTGGGGGAGGTGGGGCTGTATCCCGGTGAAGTTGGGCTGTACGTGGAGCCTTTAGGACTAGTTGGCGAGTAAGTAGGAGATGTAGGTGAGTACTTGGGGGAAGTTGGGGAGTAAGTAGGAGAAGTAGGGGAGTATTTGGGGCTTGTAGGGGTGTAGGTGGGGGAGGTTGGGGAGTAGGTTGGAGAAGTGGGGCTGTATTTTGGAGTTGTTGGGGAGTAGGTGGGAGAAGTAGGCGAGTACTTCGGGGACGTTGGGGAGTACTTTGGCGAGGTGGGGGAGTATTTGGGGGAGGTGGGAGTGTACTCCGGGGAGCTGGGACTGTATGAGGGTGAAGTCGGGGTGTATTTGGGGGAGGTGGGGGAGTAAGAGGGGGAGCTGGGGCTGTATGAAGGGGAGCTTGGGGTGTAGGTGGGCGACTGCGGGGTGTAACGTGGACTGGAGGGCGAGTAGGAAGGAGAGGTGGGGGAGTAAGAGGGGGAAGTGGGGGAGTAGTTGGGGCTGGTTGGGGTGTAGTTGGGGGAGGTTGGCGAGTAGGAGGGCGATGTTGGAGAATAGGAGGGAGAGGTGGGGGAGTAGCTTGGTGAAGTGGGCGTGTAGTTTGGTGATGTGGGGCTGTAGCTCGGGCTGGTGGGCGAGTAGGA